TTGTGAGAACCAAGGGAAATAAGGTAGGAATTGGTGTTCTTCTTGAATTTCTGAAGGTTATATTCCTCGGGAAACATCCCACTTGGCAATGTGTTACAGAGCCTCACTGTTCGTTGGATGAACGAGTCTTTGGAAAGAGATGTTCTGCAGGTCTCCAAAGTGACCACGAAGGGGTGCGAAGCCTCAACTCGACGGGATAATCTCGCGGGGACTGCCAAGGGAGGAACAATTGTTAATATTTTAGAAGAGCATCGTCCATGAAAAATATCGATAAAATAGAGCCAGATCAATAACTTTTCTACGGTGTTCTAGAGAAGTGAGTTTGTGAGCGAGGCATCACCCACGAGACGAATTGCCCTTTTTTGGACAGAATCCAACAGTTTCAGAGGGTATGTTCAGGTGCTGCACTCCGAATATGGGAACAGTATTCCAGAACAGGTCGCTTAAGCAGCAGGGCATTGTCCATGAACATTTTCAAGTCGAAAGTGCTTTATAAACTCTCGTCTAAAACTTGATAGTTATAAGGATAAGGAGTTGGAGTCAATTAAATAAAATCTTTGTCTACTGCAGGTGGATTGAAAGAGGCGGTCCAGTTCTTTGGCCACTGAGGTCTCCTGACCTAACGCCTCTTGACTATTATCTCAGGAGACACATAGAAATTCTATAGTGTATTCAGATAAACCACAAACCAGAGATCAGCTTTTTCAAAACATTATTACTACAGCTGCATCCATACGAGTCTATTTAGATACCTACTCTTCAAAGAGCAACGTTTTCAATTATTAGAAGAGCACGAATATATGTTGTGAAGCAGCGGGAGGACATTTTGAACACAAACTTCAATTAACTTTGGGAAAGCAATGAACAAATCAATATTTCAAAAAATATTACATTAAACTTTATTCAACGCATTCTCTTTGCTTCCTTCAGCACATTCTGTTAAATTTAAACACTTAGAAAACTTCTTGAGAAAAGTTGACTGTGACTAGTAAATTTTCACCTACGATAGGAAAATGAGGTACTTGAAGTATAGGCAAAACCATATTTCTGAAACACCTAAATTGCTCAGTACTTCTCAACTATAGAGTTTTGGACCGAAGCATTTCCGACTTGAAATTGTTCAAGGAATATTCCCATGAGCTATGGCACAGCCGTCTTCAAAGTTGAAGACGGCTGTGGCTATGGCATCATCCACCAATAATTAGAATATTGGTGGACGATGGCTATGGTGATCGAGTCACGGAACATGCTTGTAGCAGTTGTAGCTAGTGGTGGAGAAACAAAATAAACCTTTTCAATCAGTTTCTCTGACACAAAATGTTGGATCGTGAATAGGTAGCTCCCAATTAAGTCATCCTTCAATTCCAGATTCAGATTTTCATGACATCGATTGGGTGCAAGCTATCAAAGACTGAGAAAAAACTAATTATAGTGGAATTTCGAACACTTTATTAATTGTATGAAGCCGTACATATTCGATATCAGATAATATCACAATTTCATCTCATCCAACGGTAATTTTAATTTTCATAGTTCCTTCAGAAGGGCTTGACAAATTTAAGTCTGGTACTGAAAATAAAAAAGAAATATTTAGTATGTTCGAATTTGAAGTTCTGACAACATGAACCATATTTCTTCAGAGTGGAGAGTGAAATTAAAAAACGGTTCAGAATTTCTAGTGCACCCAAAATCTTGAAAATTGTGCTGCAGCCAAGAGAAGTCGGGAAGAATCCTCACACAGTTGAGGCATTTTCACTATATCTATACTCCTAATAAACACTAATCTGTATGAAGATGTTTATATTTTGAAGCCATATATCATCGATGAGGGTTGATTCACTATCAGTAGTAACATAATTATGGTAACGGGCCTTCAACAATGATTGAAAACCACGTAGCAGATTACTATGCAACCAAGAATACATTCGCATCTCTTCAACATGGGTGGGAAAGAGACGCCGCATCAAAAATAGTCACGTGGCACTCAATTAAGACTCGGTATAAAAAAGTCCAAGTGCAGAAATTTTCAGAATATACAAATCATCCTGACCATACATTTTTGTTTTGTAATATTCCATCGGGAATCTGAATCTGAAATGGAAAGAAGACTCTAGCAAGCTTAAATTTTAATTCTTTATTTATCCAATCTACTCAACACCAGAGAAATATTCTTATAATCGTCTATCTACTACTACTATTTCACTCATCTTGAGATTCTTACTTAAACTGACCGATCACAAGCCAAAGAAAACTTGTGTAACCACGAAAAAAACTAGCTGTTTTTCAATTCTGATTGATCTAACACCGTTGGTTTGACGAATATCAGTCAGTTCGACATAAAATAATTATAGCTGTAGATGTCAAAATGAATCGCTTCATGGTTATATGGCTTATTCATTCATATTAAATGCTGCTAATACTTCGTGAAATAGTCTAGCAAAATACCACTCTGTTCTGAATAACACCTCATATTTATCTCTCATTGTTAACTGAATTGTATTGCCGTACAGCAACAGCACTCGTTCGGAAGTATTCGTGGTGTTGCTCGGCAGCACAATTTGGTGAACAATGAAGCGACAGAATTATCTCGAATATAACATATTAAAATAAATGATGAGAAACTACTAGGCAAGCTCCTATCTTGGGTCGAATTTCTCGGAAACTGGTCATTTCAGCTCAATTGAAGGTTATGCAGCTTTTGAAAAAAATTTGACAATAATTCGAGAAATTGAAAATAATCCAAATTTCATCAACATCCTGTAGCCCACCACTGGATTAAATGTCTGGCATTACTCTCTGGTCAAGAAAAGACCCATGCAAAAAAGAAACCATATACCAAATTCAAATGCAAACTGTTTGATCATTCTTCAGAAATTATAGGATCTCGAGAACTGAACACTTTATTATGTAATATAACGGGAGATGTCACCTGTTAAGCGTTGTCGTTCGAATTTCAAAACACCCTGTATAGAATTTGCGAAAAAAAAAACAGGATAATAGTCTCAAGTATCAATTATAACATCTAGAAGTGATCCATATAAGTGACTAGCGAGGTGACTAGGTAAGATACAGTAGATATCAACAAAAAGGACCCCCTAACCATTTACATTGAAATTTTGTATACAGTGAAATGTTGTGAAAATCTACCATTAGAAAGATCAAAACATTCTGAAGGCCCGTTATGCCCGTTAAAAAAAGTTATGAGCTTTTGAAGCCAAATCAGAACAAAATAATAATATATGCATATGAATAATGAATGAATCGTGTACCTATAGGTTAGGAATGTATGTGTGGATGTGAAAATTCTCAACCATAACAAATATGATATTTGTTGAATGTTCGAGTACCATTGACTGGTTTTTACTTATTTTTGGGAGTATAATTTGACATCTCAGCGAATTTTAGTTATCTAAACGGGTTAAATTCGATATTTTGTTGGTCACAATGTTAATAAAATAGAGAATTATGTGACAACTGTTATGAACGTCCTTTTAGTAACGAGTATTTTGAGAACGAGCGCAGCAGAGCGGAGTGAAGGTTCAATAAACGAGTACCTATCTAGAAGAGTTTAAACACGTTACATACTTTATTTCTCCTACGAACTTATAATTCCCCTCTTCGACAACATCATATTCATAATACTAAGCAATTCCATGCAACCAACGGGGCACATATATATGATATTGGTTGTTGATGTGGCGAGGTTAGGTTAGGATACATGAATCGCTTGCTTACTAACCTTTGTGAATAAGAAGTTTTCATCTGACGTAGAAGATAAAAACTCTTCGTTCTATTAAGGCATCAAAGTTTTCGATTTCCAGGTTTGTGTCCATATTCCGATTGCATAATTTTGCTCACATCAATATTGTGTTATTCGTCTATTGTAATTCAGCATACAAAAGAATGAATTGCCCACAAATATAGAAACATTGTCTTCGATTTCACTTTCGTCTACATTTCGCATACATTTTTAATGAAGAATTCTGGTACAAACAGAAGTTCCAAAATGACAGTTGACAGTTTCTACAATTGACGGCCCGGACAGAACAGGACTCAAACAACTGAGGGTGTGTTTAAGATACTCTGTTGCCATGGTGATGTCTTTGAGAAATTGTGTTGCCATGGTATCGTTTTTAATTTTCTTACACCTCGACTCGTGTTTCGCAGCCCATTTTCAGGAGAAGATTGAAAACTGTTGTGTTTTCCTCACTTCAAAAAAATATCCATGGGTATTAATGGATGAGCATTTTTTGAACCTCCGCGTGATCGAGCTCAATAGTGAATGCAAAAATCATAAAACATGTGAATTTCTCAAGATGCCCATGGTTCATTGACAGAAGTACACATGTGGGTACCAACATATAATCAGGTGACTACGACGGAACTCAACAGTCCTTGCCACCCAAAGATGATGAAACGATAATTATTTTTTCATTTAGGTACATTGTGAACAACGAATATAGAATTGAACCCGTTCAGATAACTGAAATGCGCTGAGAAGTCACTAAACTTTCAAAAATAAATCGAAACCAGTAGAGGGTACTTGAACATTCAACAGAAATCATAGATATATTCATAACCTATAAGTAACAGAGCCCCTCTAGAATTTCTTCTGTTCTGGTAGAGGTTATATCGTTTGGCTTCAAAAGAGCTCATGGCCTTGAACCAAAGGACATTTCTTGCTTAGCGAAGGATTTAATCTATTCTATCTATTTTCACAACTTCTCACCGTAGACAAGATTTCAATGTGAATGGTGCGGGATCCTTCTTATAAATTTATGAGAATTTCACATTCATTTTGAAAATTATCAAGATCCTGGCATTCTGCAATTTTTTTTTTGTCATGACTTCGAAAACGAATTCGGTCATCGTCAAGAAACTCCATTCATTCGGTCAAGAAGGCCCCACCAATACTATTTTTCCATCACATGGTCAATTATTCTCATAGTTCGAATATTTAGACAACGACAAAGAATATGCGTTATGGAAAAGAATGGATTTATTGTTCAGGAATTCTTGGGGTGGACATTGCTAACTTCACTAAATTCGTCAACTCCTCATACGACTCGTATGCTTGTTTTTGCAAGAGTTCGTACCTCTTGGCAGTCAACTCGACCATTTTCTCCATATTTCGACAAGTAGTGTTGTAGCTAGCCAAACGATGAGCCGAACTACGGGTCGAAACAGGTTTCGCGGGTTTCTCCTTCACAACCGCGGCGACATTAACTTTAGATAAATAGTTCAGTCTGGACCTGAGAAAATCGACTTGCTTCAAAGATAGACCAATCAGAGAATTGACTTTAGTGCCACCGAGTTTCCCAGCAGGAGTTGGAGCTGTGTGAGAAGATTCTTCCGCTTTCTTTACGCTGCCTAAAGAACTACTTTTTTCAATTGAAAGCCTTCCTTCTGAAACCTTATCGAGTGTGCTACTCGAGTATGTCGTACCAGAGTCATACCGTGTGTTTATATCTGCTAGCTGGTTGACGTGGGCTTTGGTCGACTGTAGTTCTTTCTCCATGCTTCCGATGGTCTCTTGAAGCTTGAAGCGTTTCTCGTTGGTTATCATCAAGTTGGTCTCCAATTCTCTCACTGCCTTTTCCATCTTCGTGATTTGCCTCTCCCTGAGGTCGACCTTTTCTTGGAGTTCTTTGATCAAGCGTTCTTTCATCTTACCCTCTTTGGTGACCTGCAACAAAAAAAGTTCGTGCCAGTTGCATAAAGTGTTCAATAGATGATATATTTCTTCATTTCAGTGATTGCATCACATCTCCCAGTGAATAACAGGAATAACAGGACAGGAGGACTGACTACTAAAACTCCTTAGCCAAAGGTAATATACCAATAAAGAACTCTAAAAATCCGATAGTTCGAAAACATTTCAAAATTTTCATCATCTCCCTATCCTACATAGTTATATATACATATGTTCGAAAATGTTTGCTAAGGATGATATAGCCTTTCGGAGGTAGGTACGTGAATATAGTTTTCTCCAGTTTCCTTTGATTCTAGATATACAAAATTTGGTACCTCAGACTGAACTGACAAAAATGTCGTTGTAACAAATTGTATTGAGTTAAATCCATAGACATACAACAAGTTCATTATTATTAAATTTTCATGTAATTGAGTGAACATTAACTGTTATTAACGAATAAATTCACAACACAAAACACAAGTACAAAGTACAATTTAATCAAACAACGTCAAAATTGTACTCTAACATCAGCCAACTTGACAATTACAACGATTTGGGATATCAAACCCAAAGTGTACTGTACAGACTGCTTTATTCTATCATTATTATCAAGAATGCATCAGATGAGTCAAGAAATGATCATGCTCTAGCTAAAAAAGTAATTGGATGCGGATTTTTGTTTTTTTATTCTTTGTTATGTTTAACCTTTGAAATGTTCAATTGTGACAACGTTATTTTTGTTTGAAACAAAGTTATAATTTTCTTCATCATCTTCTTCATTTTCATGATTGTTGTTTCAAATGTAGTGCGGCAAACAAATGTTATGATAATGTTCTTACACATACAGGGTATTTAAAGTTAGTCATTGATAATAATAATTTAAATAAATACGGACTTGTCCTCTAGTTTTTCAATCAGGTTGAGATCTGGAAATTAGGAAAATATGAAACTGTTGATAATTGAAAATGGAAATGTGCCATTTGCAGACAAGCAAATAGTTTTTTTTAAAATTTTGTGCCACCTCTTTATTGAAACCTCTAGATTTGACTCAAGTTAATGGGTAAAAAAGTTTCGTGCGGAAACACACCAAATACATTCAGACTTATTTTTTTCCTGCCTTTCTCAAATTAATAAATGAGATTTCAAAGTATTGATATACAGGGTGTTGTTTCGAATCGAAACCTACTTATTAATTTCTTCAAGGCCGGCCCTGGAATAAGACTTCTTTTTATTACGCCAATCGTCCCCACTGTGGACAAAGAACATACAAACGAAATATCAAAATAATGTAGAGGATGATTTGGGAAAATTAATGAATCATCATATATCTAGGTTATAAAGAATGATAGATATATGAAATATAGATTATTTAGAAGTACCTTGGTGTCCTTCATCTACCCTAGGGTCCCTTGATGTAAATTGACGTATTTGCAGGGTATGGACAGATCGTCGTCTCCTCTCACTCTAAAGTGTTTGTGAAACACTTATATACTTCCATCTTTACTCATTTTGTTCATTTATTTATTTATAGAACAAATAACTTCCAGACAGAATAGGCTCTGGTATAAAGAAGAACATAATTATATACCTATAGGTAAACATATCATGATTCAAAATATATCAACAACTGTGAATTGGCAAACAGTTCGCTCGAAAATAATTAGTTTTTTTACTTCATTTTTGAATGTACCTATATTTCTGCAATTTTTTGTATTGTCAGGTAGTATATTGAATTCAGTTAATCCTTTGTGTACGAGTGGTTGCGCTATGAAGACACAACTCTAATAATTTCTTACTCAGTCGCCTAGTGTACTTATATTGTAGCCACATTCTGAAGAACATGCGTAAATGTCCCTTCTCTTGATAGGAACCCGTACTATTCCGTTTATTCGCAAGAGAAGACAACTGTTTCAGACTAATGAACACGGTTCCATACTGCCTTTGCTAATCAACTGTTTCATTCTATTTTTTCGTCTATTTCAATATGGCAGGTGAGGTTTCTTCTGCAAAATAGTGAACAACTCGTTGAAAAATGTCATAGTAGTAAGAAAATAGAAATTCTATCGAAGAATAATTTTATTTCTCGCCAAAAAGTTGGTGGTCTCGCCTTGTGGACACAAGGGAAATAGTACCTCGTCTGTTTTTTCGTTCAGATTGTTCTCATTTCGCTCTACTTGTGATGTGAAATCATATCTCAGCGACGAGAAAAATGGTTTCTCTCAATATCATTCCAATAAACATTTGTGATTATTTTGATAGCTGAAATAGACTTAGTATATGCACTTCGTTGGTATATATGTACACACCAACTGGTCAACGACCTCCATAGAGGTCCATAAGCACAAAGTGTTCTGCATTGTGTGTTCTGTGCAGGCTTTCTTACTAACTCTATACGTCAACTTAGAAGCTGCACTGTGAATTAGGAGGCAATAGTGAATCGTGCAAGACTATCCCCAGCTGATGCTTCAAAACTCAACAATATCAAGTCAAATATTAGAAACATTCCTTGCCCTGGCTGGGATTCGAACCCACGACCACGCGGTCATGAGTCGAGCACTTGTCCACTGCGTCAATCTCGACTGAAACAAATTAGTGGAAATTCATTTTGTGTGATTTGAGCAATGTTTATTGCCTAGTGTCTTCAAACCGAGGACACGTCCTGAAGCCTTCAGCCAAGGTCTGAAAATAAATTGACATGCATATATACCTTCTAGAATCACTTGTGAATTAATTTGTGCATTTTTCTATTGAAATATATCAAGGTTATAGATTTCGGCCCCAAAGGGTTAAGGCTGAATGAGTCAATCTTTTTTGTCCGATTATGGGGCTAGCGGCGTCAAGATAAACTCTAGATTTCTGACATTTGTTCTTTTTTAGGTTATATTGAGGCACAGCCGTGCGTATCATGCGTAATTACCACATGTAATTTCTCATTCAACTCTACATATTATATCCAATTGATTCCTGATTTTCAACTCCAGCATAATTTTTGTGAGGCAGTGTACAAATTTCTCTGAAAGTTTAATACGTTTTACCAAATGGAACTGTTCTTATAGGTGATTTCGTATTAGTTATACGTCGGATATTTTGCTGATGTATTTACCAATTCTCCCCATTCGGTCACTTCACTTTCTATGTTCTGAGTTCATATGCATTTGATGGAAAGCTGACAAATTCAAATTTTCCATCCAACTGATTGATATAGCCTAACGTAGCACATTTTACCATCCTTCCAAAACAGAATTGAATAATGTCGTATTAAGATCAAGTATGAAATTGAAATTTTGTAAGATCTCTTTCAACGCCTTGAATGTGACGTGACAGCAATGTCATGTCAGGGACGCCAATACCCGAAACCAAAGTCACTAGATGATTAAAAGAGAAAGGAGCTATGATCTGTTCGTACCCTGTTTGATTGTCTTTATTACCCCAAGAAACATTATTGTTTATAATAGGGATATATACAACAAATACGTCAGTTTGCATCAAGGGCCCCTAATCTACCCTTACTGTATGCGCAATTTCCAATTAATATAATGTTGATGAAAGAAAATCGAACCTCAGCCAAAACCGTGCGCATCTCCTGAGAATATCTAGTGAGACTCTCTTTCTCGATGAACAACTCGTCTCGGGAAGCCTTCAAAACTCCCGCCAGATTCTCCCGGAACCTCAACATGTTCTCCATCTCGTTCATCTGCTTCGTCTGCTTGTCGATGATGTTCTCGCACTGCAACAACTTCTGCTCGCTCTCCAGAGACTTCCTCATCAGCTCCGACAGCTTCTGTCTGCCTTCCTCCACCATCTTCTGCAAATTGTCGGTGGGACACTTCCGGTTGATTTCTTCCAGGTGTTCTTGCCGGACTTTGAGCTGGCGGATCTCGGAGGTGAGCTTCGAGACCTCTTGGGACCTTAAAAATATGAACCTGTGGGTTATTTATGAAGTTTTTGCACATCCGGGCGAAAAGTGGCACTTCATCGCCCAAATTTGCGGGCGTAAAGTAGTACTTTATCGCCGTGAGGTGATAAAGAAGAACAGCTAGCGGTGAAGTAGTCCGTCGGGCGTTGAAGTAGAATGACGGACGGTGAAGTTTTTTCACAGTTTTCCCAGTAGTTTCAAGTAACATTAAAAAATTCCATATCGACAGTTGATAAATGTCTTCATTTTTTATTTCAAGTTTGAGGTGAATTTCTAGTTTATTTTGTTGATGGAAAATCATATATTCTGTTTTATTAGTATCTATCGATAAAAGGTTATAGTGCATGAAGCCATTTTTCAAATATTTTCAAGTCTTCATTTATCATATTTTTGATTCAATATTTCGAAACACAGATTTTCAACAGAGTCAGTGGATCTACTGACAGTAATGACCAGTTGAATTTGGAATATCGCCTATGTATATTTTATGACATTAGTTCTGTGACTTCTGCCTTTGTCACTTTGAGGTTTTTCGTCCACGATGGAAACCTGATATTTGACATTCTGTCAGGCTCTTTCCGTCTATTATCTTCTGATTCAAATCTGTCACCTTTTTCAAAGGAAATCTGGTCAATAAAAACATTCATAAGAAACTGCAGAAGATGCAGGAAAGCTTGAATACGTTTTGAAATTTTGGCGAATACGCCCTATCCTCAGTGTCACAAAAATGGCGAACGCGCGTACAATGGAGTAATTCTGTTGGAGTAAAATCAGATTGAAGCAATACCTTCTTGAGGTGAATGAGTATCACAAACCGAAGACAGTGACCTCGTTCATACCGTATGGATATTTGGAAGTGAACGCATGTTTATACCATGTATATTTAGTTGTCTAACGTGACCAACTTTGTTATGATTTGATTATTATTTTGGGGTAAGGTTGTGGAATTCCACTTGATAATGAATACATTTTAGATTCAAAATCAGCTGAAATTGAATAGAATATTGTTTTAAAGAATCATAAATCAACTGACACTTGCAGTCAACTCAAGTCAAGGCTATATACAGGGTGTTTCATTATTGAATACTGATCCTTGAGGGCGATAATCCTTGGATGATTTCAAAGAGAAAAGTTCATATCGACATATGTCCTCAACATCTTAGTTATTGAGCAACAGTGTGATGAAATTTCAAGAAAAAAATGAGTTTTTCATCATAATTTTTTATCACTCTTAGATATTGTTATGATATTTCGTATACACCTTTTCATTATTAAGGAGCATTTTTTCACGTGAAAGATATTGAAAAAATCTCACCAGTGGCGTCCGTACGGGGTTTGAACTGACAATTTTTGAAGAAAAAAATAGGACGCCACTGATTTTTCTGAGAACCAGATTTATTTTTCAATTCTTATTCATTTTGGAGCAAATTTGGTTCCAAGACTTACTTTCATACAACGTACCGTTTTCGCGTAAAATAATAAAAACCAAAGAATCTTGTTCTTTCAGTTCTTGGATATTGTTTTTGGTAATTCAGTAGACATCCACTATAAGTAGAAACACATTTTGTTTTGGGACGAAAATCAAACTTTCACTTTCACCAGTGATGTTCTCGTAGACCATGAATGTTTTGTTTAAAAAAACGCTGTACGCTTCTGATTTCAACACCCTGTAGCTCAAAAACTAAGAGGTTGAAGACATATGTTGATATGAACTTCTCTTCTTGAAATCATGCAAGGATCATCGCCCTTTAGGATCAGCATTCAATTATGAAACACCCTGTATAGGTACAAAAGTAGACCAAAGTGTTCCTACCATCTTGGTAACAAATTTCGGTACCAAACCAAGCTGGTAAATGACCAAAAGTATTTAGTTAAAATATAGTCATTAGTCAGCTAATCAACACGCTTTATTTACGTGGCCAGTTATATGTGGATGAGCATGAGTAGTCGAAATTGATTTTTCATGATTATGTGTAATAAATGCTCCGTATCCTTCTTGAAACAGTCTAGCAGAATATCACTCTCTGAAAATTTTGTTCATTATTGGGTCGATTGTGAAAATTTTCTCGGTAACACAAGTTTTTGAACAACACTCTTTGAGTTTCGTAACTTTAACTTTGAAGTCAGTTTGGATTCAGTTGGACAATTAGGTCACTAGACATTCATAGTACCTATAGGAACTTCTGAATGTAGAAAACTCTTGTATCATAATATACAATTTTTTTCTGCATTTAAGGCATACGAGAAAGTGTATTTACTTCTCTGTCAGCTTCTGTTCACTTTCTGCCAATAACTGTTTATATCTCGCAACTACTTCGTGCTGTACCATCACTGTTTTCTCTGTTTCTGTCGGCACAGCATTCTGCTTTTTCTCCTGTAAACAGACGAATAAAAAGATTAGCAGGAAAATGTTTGTGACAATAGATTATTACGAATTTTCGCAATATACAATATTCTAGATCCTTCATTCTTGTCGTGTTCGATCACACTTGTATTATAGAAATTGATTTTTCTCTAATTGAAACGACGGCCTGCCGATCTAGCGTTTTTCAACACGCTCATTTTAGGTGTCAACGTATTTATTAGTCAAGTCATAGTTTCCAGAGTTTCCGGTTTAATATTCAAAATCAAACCTGAGTGAATGATTTCTCATTCACTAATTCATTTCATCATGTCATAAAGAACTTTTCATGAGCTTCTTGTTCTATTATTATTCTTCTTTCGAATCTGTTGTTCATTTCAATAATTATAATTCAATTCAATAACGCATGAATAATCTCATATCTCACCAGATATGAATCTCTCTGATTATTGATGTTATTTCATTGTAAATGTTAATGAATATATTCATATTTTATTTATATGACATGCAATGTAATGTTTATAGCAGAGAATGAAATAAATAATAGATCATAAAAACTTGGCAGGGGTGTTCGATTCAAGAGTCGTACAGTTTTTTGATATTTCATACTCTCCCATCACTTCCAGTTCGACCGAAAACGACTCCAACTTTTTCAAATGGGACGGCGCTGTCCTGAATAACACCGAAAAAATTTTAGCGGTGTTTTCTTGTGATATTGTAGCAAATAAAGTTCATATAACCATGTGTCCTAACTTGGTCGGTTTTTGTGATACAGGATGTTGGAGTTGGACGTATTAATTGTTTTTATTTATACCCCCTCTGTGTAAGCTTTCATGATGGTGCCAAAATTCAGTAGAGATGGAGACTGATAATGCCCCAAAATTTGAAAATAATTATAATTGGGGTTATTGAGTAATCTCAATTAGGCAATCCAAACCACGTGACATTTTAGCTGACAAGATGGCGTCTGGTTGGCAAACAAAGGTTATACATTACTTGTAATTAAATTGTATTTTGCCCGAAACACCCTATTATTCTGGTAGTTTTCTGTGTCAGGGGTCTGAGGGAGTCTTGGAGTTGAATTGAACAGTGCTTCAATATGCTAAGTTCATATTTCAAGAAGTTATTGCAGGAAAACCCAGAGGTTGGTCAGAGGTAAACAAGAATATTTATTGTTTTTTCGGCTATTTGTCTCAACTAACCAGTAAATTTTCATGCCTGAAACTATCATTCAACCATAATTTGTTTGTAGATATCTGATGAAGCTGATGTTGATCGAGGATTTGAAGCCCTTCACATCCGAAACTGCTGACTGATTAGACTACCTGATAATTATACTCTCCTACTATTTATAGTGACCCACAGTTTCTACCCTTATTAGCAGATGAAATCCTACAAAACCCTTGTTGTTCACAAGTAATTCCCAGCAACTTTCGTCCAGGAAGATGAATGATTTTCATGTCATAGTTGGAAAGGTAACTTTTTACTCTTATACCTAAATAACTTTCATCATAGGAACATTTTGAATGATGAAATTATGTTATTCATATATCTTTAATATATTTCCTATTCCATATTCATGTAAATCTTATGCAATTTTTTTATAGGTAAAATATTCACAATCAGATTCAGCGCTAATAATAAGTAACTTGAGGCTTGGGCAAGTAAATAAGGAACAGTTTCATGTACTGATGTAGGTGATTTGGTCCATGCCACCACTCTCCATGATTGTGCCCATCATACCAATAGCAGAAATGGACATAGGTACAGTTGCTCTGGCTGGTTCAATACAAAATCCCTACTATATCTTCAATGTCCAAGGAAAGTGTTTTTTGGGAACAACATTCAGAAATTGCTTTGAAGTTTCATGCTGTAGTTATAATGCCTGGACTTTTGGGTAGACATTAATTCCACCAGAAATGAACTATTGGTGTAAGTGTTCAAGTGCTGATGATGGAACCTCTCTATGACTAGTTGTGACAGTGATAAAGGGAAATCGAATGGTTCCATTTTAAATGTAGAAATATTTTAGGTACACCATAATCAGCATGGTTTTGTGAATTCTGATTCAACAAGTTCTATAAAAAAATATATACCTATTCATAATATATAATTCAATCATTGTTTATTTTTGTTTCAATCAGATCACTGAATACCTATAATGTTCTATGAATATTTTTTCATGACTTATGTAGATCTTTCATAATATAGTGGAATAATACAATGTATTTTTCATTTGATGAATATTACAATTATTTTGGTATAAGTACTATATTTGTCTTTTATTTATAATTGATAAAAATGAATCACAACAAACTGTAAGTTGTAAAAGTAAAATCTTGTAGATTTTCACCTTATTGTTTTCACCAATTTTTTCTTCTCTGTCTTCATCTCCCAGGACACTTTCTTCATTACACTAAAATAAATGAGAAATGATGTAGTAGTAGATTGAGGTAATTAGATGTTTTCTTGAGAACATACCAGGTCTCTTGGTTGTGATGCTTCATTCATGATTTGAACCTTTTGTCTGCTCTCAGTTTTTGATCCACATCAGTCTTGCATTTCGAATGGGCAAGAGATTGATGACCCATAGTATATTGCAATGGGACCCAAGCTTTATATATTTTCATCTCTCAGGCACTAGAAGGTAAATAATTTATTTATGTATCAAAAACATGATGTTTCCAAACTATGTAGGCCTATCAAAAGTGATGAGTATGGGTTTATTTTATCAAAATGAAGGAAATATCAGTTTTCCATAGGATGAAACACTAAACTCTTCAGTTCTAGAGTAGGTAGGTACATATAAATAATATTTGAATCCTTCTTCTCAGGTACCTGTTATGAAAATAGTGTCTGCCATATATTCTCTGGTTTACTACGATTGATTCTGTTGCTGATCTTTTCTCTTGATGGCTGCTATCCACATTTCTCCTATTGTTCTTGATAGATCCTTCATCTGTGGGTAATGCACAGAGTTTTTCACAGTATCACAGTAGGAATGTGACAAAACAGCAAATGGTCTCGATCTGCACGGCTTCCACAATCCACCACAATACACGTTACTGGCATTTTTTTCTTTGAAATCATACTGAGTTATCATTATTCTCAATAAATCTAACCAAAACTAAATAAACTAATACTCTGAAAGGCTTCTAAAACCCACAAAGTTCTCAAGTGAACAAATTTTTCTTTGGTTTGTTTGCCAACCAGACGCCATTTTGAAACTATTTGACAGGTCGTTGGATTGCCTAATGGAAGTCTTAAAAATACCTACATTAAAATTTGAAGTCAAATCGAATTTTAATTGTTTCCTCAAAAACCAAGCTAGATACAAAAATCACACAGAGGATAGAAAAGTTGTTATTTCAATAGTTAAATCTATTAAAAATATGAAAAACCGGTGGTGTTCAATGACATTCACCATGAATATCGATAAATTTACCCACTGTGACGCCACTGGAGATATTATTTCGAATCTAATTGAACTAGAAGAAGCTCCATATTACTATTAATAGAATCACAACCTTTTAATTGAAATTGATGGTAAGGCAATTGAGAAATGAATAGAAAAAAAATTTTTCATGGAAATATTAATACCCTGTATCTCGAAAACGAAGCGAATTTTTGTCGGTGTTATTTAGATACACCCTGTATAACCATTCTCTTATCGCTCATTGTTGATCGTAGCCAAGTTTTGAGCCTATTGAGTGAAGAAAAACTTCGCCGTTGCTCCACTTAAATCTCGAGGATATGTCTGGCTCGCACAAATGCAAGCAGATAACGATTGCAATATCTGGCATGGCGCCATTGAATTTACTATACTTATTCTTCCATGATTCTATTCTCAGTTCTTATCATAGTTCTGGAGGGGGTTTTTACCCCCTCCATATCTACGCCCTTGCGGTTGATTGCATAAAAAATCTGCATTTACCACGAGAGCAATTGTTTCCTTATGCAAGACATTTTCCTCTTCTAATTTTCTGATCCTGTCCTTGAACTCCTGTATGATGATGTCTTTAGCCATACTTTCAGAATACTCCTGAGCCATCGATGCAGAACCTTGTCCATCTGGAGAGAAGAAGAGAATAAAAAACTTCATTGGTCATAATAATATGAGAATATTACGCCGAATGGCTAACGACCGAAGCCTTTTTGTCAATGTATTCAATGACCATAATATGTTTCTAAATTATTTCACTTGATTGATGATGATTTTCTCTCCTCATTTCTATAAAATAAGAATATGAGTATCATTTTTATATATGAAAAATCAATGATTTGCCCCAAAATGTCAATGCCTCAGAGAGCCTGAAAGAAAAATCCAATATCTTGTCACTGACACTTATCTGGCTGGGAAAATGTTTGAAGAGGAGGAATATAGATATATTGAAAAAATATCAAATTTCCACTTATCTTTTGACGTTACGAGAACGAATATACTCCCGTTCTCAACATTAAAATGCAAACTATTTCTCTTCGAAAATTCTTTTCTTATAGTTTGACACCTTTCAGTGACATACTGATGTTGACATATGGAAGAGTGATGATGTTAGGATAGATGTATAGAAAGTCAAATGGTGTTATCACTTCATTTCGAAAGGAGTTTCAAAATTCCTCTTCTACATTGTGAAAATAGCGAGGCGTGGAAGAATCTTACTAAACTTCCGAAGTTTCAAACCGAAATTACATGCATCAAAATATTAACATTCATTGATCCCAAGAAACATACAACGTTTATGGAGGGAAAAAACAAAAAAATTAAATGAAATAAAATCAAATATGCAATACAATGAAAGATAAACAGTTCAATCAGAATCAATTGATGCAAGGAAAGAGTTAAATTATTGATGAAATATATTTCTTCAGTTCACACTTACATTTTGTGACGAATTTATTAGATTTTAATCTGTTGGGTAGACTATTATAAGTATTTATTCCACAAAAGTACAATGAAATGCGTGTGTCACATTTTCGACTTCCTATGGTGAATTCATGAACGACACGAAGTCCTGACTCAAGAAAATCTTTGATAATAGTTTATTGACTCACTTTTGGTACATAAAATAAATCGACTGTTCGGATTTTCAAATAATTCTCACACATTGCAGCAGTCAGTCCATGATAAAAGCACAATACACTCACTCAACTGATAATATTATATCAATTGCTGCTTAATAAGCTACTAATGCTCTTAATTTATAATATTTCTATTTGGAATTTAAAGAAAATTCTGAATATGCTGAAAACATAACGATCGTGACAGATATTTTGAGATCAAGATGTTTCCGCACGGATTACTTGTTGCGCGTTGTCTGGAAGTTATTTGTTCAATAAATAAATAAATAAATAAATGAATAAATCAACGGGGATCTTCAGGTCCCGGAAGAAGGAAAACACATTCATTGAGAGTCTAGTTCAACTTCATAAAAAGATTCGAAACGCATTTTGAAAATTTTCGAGAAATTGCCCATCGTTCGCGCCATCTGTTATCGAATATGAGAACCCCACATTCAGAACTCGCATTCAATTGTTCATATCGAAAGCTAGTCTGACGAAACAATTGAAAAGTGGGCACACCAGAGGAATTGTTAAGAACGGCAGCAAATTCGTTCGAAACATAACCAAGTAAGAGTTATGACGTAATCAAATAAAAAAAACTAGCTAGGTATGTACCTTTTCCCCATTGTATGCTGCTACTGACCAAATTCATGGTCTCCCGATTTTCCAAGCCCATCTTGGCGATATGCTCCTCCATTTCGCTGCACTTGCTCACAGCCAGGTCCCTTTCGTTCGTCACCGTTCTCAGGGCGTATCTGTTCCGTTCCATCTCAGCGCTGAGCTCGTCCAGCTGCTGCTGAAGAGACTCCTCCTGGGTGGATCGTTCCCCCTCGATGGTCTCCAACCTAGAACGAAAATTTATATCATATCAGTCCTGAGCCCACACATCACTGGCTGTGGAATGATCTCACCTATATGCATTCGCCAATGATATATGGGCATGCGTGATCATCTGTTGACTGCGCATCTGCGTCTGGCAATCCAGCTCAGGAGTTTAGGTATATGGAATTGTTTGGAAGTTTGGGGTGATTAAGTAGAAAAATCCAGAAGCGTCAGAATTATTGTGCACTGAGTTATTGAATGTGTATACAAACTAGATTACTAGGCAATTGTTAGATATTAACTCCATTTACAAGTTCGAAATATTGAATTTCATCCATTCCGTCAAATATAATTATCAACAATCAAATCTAAATTTTGAAGTCAATAAACATAAACATGACCACATAATCAGACAAAAAGATATGTTAACTCCCATTAAAATTAAATCAGATATGGGTAAACGATCTATTTTATACAATGGAACAATTCTCTATCATGAATTGACTACCAGACTGAAGAAAAATTATGTGTTGAGAAATTCAAAAAAGAACTGAAAAAATACTTATGTCTTTGATTCTCTTATATCATCCTAAATAAATTCAAGAACTTACATTCAACAGGAACTAGAAGAAACAACATTATACGTACTATGTATATGATTTCAAAATGATTATCTGATTATCTAAGTTTTTTTAGTTGCTTTTTCATAATTTTCCATGCTATGAACATACAGGGTCGCTGATATGTATGAAAACAGGTGAATATCTCGGCAATCTGTTGTTAGATTTTTTCGAATTTATGTTCAGTGTGATTTCGAAACGTGGCTGATTTGAAAATGTTATAGCCTCTAATAATAATAATAATAATAATAATAATATAAGTTTATTCAAAAACGTTTACAAAATATACATTGGAATAAACATAAAGGTAATTTGAATAAACTGGGAAAAACCTTACGAAGTTAACCTTGTAGTAAGGATAAAAAATAAATAAATGTACATAGGTCAATAATTTTTCGGTTATTCCGGATTTTTAGTAGCTTCCTTATTTTGAATGAAACACCCTGTACTTTATTGGATTTCCAGATTCTCCTTGAAGAGCTGATTCCATCGATCTATCAGACTTGGGGTCGAGCGGGAATGATTACATAGGTATAGGGTGTTTAAAATCTAGGTTTTTCAACTTTAGGATTTTTTTGTGTAGAAACTATCCATTATCGATCAAAACCGCTCCAATGTTCCTATCTTCACTTTTGATTTACTATCTACTTACTGACTATTTAATTGGAACAGATACAGAGGGTGATCAGAATTCTGAATCTTGAACCACCCTGTATTTGTTTCAATTAAATGTCAGTAGATAGTAAATCAAAAGTGGAGATGGGAACATTGGAGCGGTTTTGATCGATAGTGAATAGTTTCGACACAAAAAAATCCTAAAGTTGAAAAATCTAGATTTTAAACACCCTATACCTATGTATTCATTCCCGCTAGACCCCAAGTGTGATAGATCGATGGAATTAGCTCTTCAAGGAGAATCTGAAAATCCAATTAATTACAGGGTGTTCCATTCAAAATAAGGAAGTTAATAGAGAATCCGGTATAACTGAAAAAGTGGAAACATTGGCTATAACATTTTCAAATCTGCCACGTTTTGAAATCACACAGTACATAAATTCGGAAAAAACCAACAACAGGTTACCGAGATATTCACCTGTTTCCATATAATATATCAGCGACCCTGTATATGTTTCTTGGGAATAATGAATATTATTATTATTAATATTATATTCTATTTTGTCAGATTCATGAGCATCTCAGAATAATCATTCTTATACAGGGTGATTCATCAGTCCTATGCCCATACATGAAAAGTTGGTGCCTTGGATAATTAGTTGTGTTCTATCGACCTAAAATATTCTCAGTGTTGAGACCTTGCCGCTTATATTGAAAAGCAACAACTTTGATTTTTCAAATAGGACTCCCTGTATATTATTCTTATTAATTCTCATTGGGAACCATGACAACCAGAATTGTAAACGAAACTTGATCGCGATTTGGATAATCTGCAAGTGGAGAAATTAGAAAATATATGAATAATAGTGTGATTTCGAATTCATCAAATTGTCTTGCCGAATTACACTAGAGCATTTTATTTGGTCGGAGTAAACTTGGAATTTATAATTCAATTTCTGTTGCCATTAGGAAATTCTAGTTCTGTTCATGTTGTAAAAATATGACACTGTGACAACAACAATTTGAAATAGGTCATGATAACCTTAGTTTATAGAATTTTTCCATTTTTATCACGAGTAGCTACTGAGATCAGGCACTGAATTACGGAATATATACGGATGGTATGAAAAATCAATTTATGGAAAAAAATTCCTATTTTGTATATTCTACACTGTCAAGAAAAAAAACAAACAAACAAATTAGATTATGGGATAGGGAATGAGAAGTTCCGTAAATGCTCTCAATGTTATCTGGATCAAGCACCTAGTTTCGAAACAGTTTTTGTCGGCTGTCAGTTTCTGCAGCATGTTCTCTTGATGTTTCAGACTCTTTGTCAATTCTTCCTTTTCTTTGATCCATTGAGTCTCCTTGTGCTTGAGCTGGTCTTGTAGAAGTCTGAAATAAACGTAACAAGTTAATTAAACAATAACCATTGTCGATCTAAATGAAAACCTAGTAGGCGACCTAGTACGCGAGGAGGTACAATATTGTCTGTTCTTTGAATCAAAATCTGTCTGCCTGTCAAGTGGCGCTGGCATCCTGAAAATGGAAAAAGCTCATTTGTTTCCGTCAAAATAGACCATATTAGGTTGATATTCTCTTCTTCTATTTCTCTCCAATATGTACTCAACCACAGACGTGCTTTCCATCATTGACGTGATATTTGATAGGAAGACGATGGAGAAGATTCATGTAATCATAAAATTATTTTCTGACAGTTGTCATTAACTTATAACTTCGTCTTTGTGGATGTGTTGAACTTTGATTTCCTTTCTTGGAAATTACAATTATACCTATACCTAATCATTTCTTCTAGTATTGGTTTTCTATCAGAGTTTGTTGATTGGTTTGTGAGTGCGATTGTGTTATTTTGCAATGTCATCTGAAAACTGCGCACTCCAGGAGGTGAAGGTGTAATTGAATTATCAAGACATGGTTTCCCCAATCCCCACTGTTGTGAATTTGAGCCTCAAATCCTGAGGCGTCAATGGGTTCACGCCATATTCATTGGATATCAAGGTGAACTTTTTTTCTTGAATCACATAATATTTGGAACTTAATGATATTTATATTTCAGGAATGTGAGTTTTTGAAGTAAGCGAACATGATACTATATGTTTCCAACATTTTAAGGGAACTGTTTCTTGCCAATGAAGAATAGGAAACGGTTTTGGAAAGAGAGTACGGTCCCAAGTTTGTTCAAGGTAGAAATATATAAATAAAATGGTATTTAACAAATTTGTACCTATACTAACTAACTAATTATTAGTTTCGGTATGAAATTCACCAAGAACTTGACTTTGGTTCCTCTAAAAGTTGTTCCATAGTCAAAAGTCATTAAATTCATTTCAGAACATTACAGGACATTGAAACTAGGGACAATATTTTTATATTTTCAGACTCGGCAATGTTGTTTGGAATATGATGCTGAAGAGGAATTCCTGCCTTAAGGAACAGGACCTGACGATGAAGAAGCATCTGAGGAGGAAACGGGCATTTGAACAGATATTATAGAATGATAATAAATAATAATAAAGTTCATTCAAAATGTTGACTTAAATATAAATTAAAAAGATACATATTGGTATTGAATATTTCTGTGGTTTAATTTGTGCCAATAATAGACACATCTTCTCATATTTAGTGAAGTTCGTAGCTTCAATAAGATGATTTAATAAAAAATAATCATTGTTTTACTTCAAAAATACTTCACCTATAAACAATATTTGTACAATATATATAGTGTTTTCAAACTTATCTGCCAATACATCTGTACAACAATAAACAGGGTATCAGAAGAGAACAAACTATATAGTAGAATAAAAATTGAAATAATTCTTCATAATTATGTACAATTTATTAAAAAAATTAAATTGTATTGCCATTCATACAATACATACAAGTTTTATTCCAATAAAAAATTCTAAATATCCCAGCATCTTGACAAAGAACCCTGAACAATAGAATACCATATATCTGAGGATGATTCCTATACAATCTTGAAATCACTTTACTCTAGTGAAATTCTGAGTGGCTCACTACGAAAATGGTCCTGAGTGTGCTGGAGTGGAATATCACATGTTCCTCATCATCTAATTGATTGCTTGAAAAATGGATAAATTGAATATACATTGGGGTGTGTATAATTTGTAGCCTAGAATGAAATGCCAGCAAACAAATCGTTGTTCTTACTGCTTATCTGGATTCAGCTCATCGAACTACAGGATGAAAAGTTTCTGATTTTATTCACTGCCCCATTTTCTTGTGTGTTTTTTCATAAAATCTTGTGAACTGGATATTTTTGCAGCTCGACTTTCAAGGAGGTACCTATCTATAAAAAATATAATGATATTTTGTGTTTGGAGCAGAATATCCATGAGACATTGATGAAATAACCAGATTGAGTCTAACCTTAGTGCTTCTATATATTTATTTCAGATGGTAAATTTTCCATTCTGTTCTGGAACATCATCATCCTTCTGGTACATTCCTTCTGAACATTACTCACATAATGATTTCTAATGTGATACTTCCACATCACTCATAGTTTTCCGTTTTTCAACTGAAAAGCTATTAATGTAAGTACTCTTCGCTGTAGGTAGGTACCTGAAATTTTCAAGTATATAGTGATTCGGATGTGTACATGGTTTACATCACTAAAGACATGTTTTCACTGCAAATAATGGAATTTCACGAATTATAGAGTAACTTATCAAAAATATAGAAGGAAAAAAGCAGCCCCTACCTTTCTGCTTGGCTTGCATGTCGAAAAAGTGTAATAGCACTATTGAGTTTCCGAAGTTTCCACAGTTCCAACTTAAATTCAAGTTGCATCATGAATCATACTAATACAGCATTGCCTAAACATCTTCCTGCTTCCATTCAAGTATAGGTAGATGGTTTTCATACTTGATAATATCCTTCGTGATAATGTTTCATTTTCGGGATTCCACATGACAGATTTTTATTTACAAACTTGACAGGACCATGAAAAATGTTACGGTTAGGTCTGACAAATAAATAACTTAGTTTACTTGGTTCACATTGATGTCTCTGTACTACTGAACGCCTTCATTTATTTTTTCAAAGAACAGACAATATTATGCTCTCGCCTACTAACTACCTAACTAGGTTTCCATTTAGATCGACAATGCAATAACAATAATAGCTATTTATGTCCGCATCTCATAAGATAGCTTTGATCACTTTTTGCATTTCTATCGTCACTGGAATCTGTATATTATCTACATTGACATATACAGACTACTTCCCTACCGATCATATTATACCGGAAGATTTTCCGAGGTGGCTCACCCCTATTTTTTATTATTGGAGGAAGTGAAACAAAATTTGGAGGTTGTGAATTGTAGTTCAAATGACATTTTTGACACATCTATTTGCTTTGTCTCAACTCTAGTTTGATCTGAAGTAACAACCCCACCTTTCGATTTCCAAATGGGGCACCATTTATTTTATTTATAATCGGCTATGAATTATCACAACGACTTCGCCGGATTCGATAGGGTTATTTCTAACGATCAGGCAGATGGTTGATTAGTTGATTGTTCTTATTACCCCAAGAAACATATCTGTTTATGATAAGGATACATGAACACCTATAAAAATAATATTGAAAGGTTAACTAGTGAATTCCTATCAGTGGAAACAAATTCATACTTTGTCTCGAGATGAAAGTTATAACATTTTGATTCTGAGTAATCAAATCATACCAAATATTTTTCATTCGAACTTCCCATATGCTTAATGGACATGACGGTGCAATGATTTATTTATTGTTTTTATTACCCCAAGAAACATATCTGTTTATAATGGGGATACATGAACACATATTGAGAAAATAATAATAATAATAGAAGGTTAACCAGTGGTGCCCTCGAGAGTCTCGTTTTCGAGAGTCTCGCATGGTCTCGTCTCGTTTTCGAGACAAGTCTCGAGACGAGACTCGAACAAGACGAGACGAGACTTTCATTGGTCTCGTCTCGAGTCTCGTGCAAGACTTCTCGTGTCTCGTGCAAGAGTCTCGCGGGTAAATATTTCTGCGTGCCGACTGCAGACTTGAGAATTTCATTCATAATACAACTTATTTTGAAAGAATTCAGACTATTTAGCACAGATAGACAAAACATTTCATTCATAAATACTTTAAAAACACAATCCATGATTGTTGTAAAACGAAGTAATGCGTGAAACGAAAACGGACCATTCTCTCCCTTACGGCGGAATAATGTTGGATTGAAGTTTTTGTTTTGTTTATTTGTTTAGAATATACGTGTTACTTTTCATTTTATTTTTATAACTTTCGAATATATAAAGCTATGTTTTTTTGTCTTGTTTAGATGAATGAAGTAAGTATGTACCTATCAGGTACTTACTTTTCAATAAAATATGTAATTTTTGTTGTAATTTTCACTTCCTACTTCTATACCTTAGAAGTAGGTGAAGGTAAATATCCCGTACTAGACTGGAACAAGATTATTCATGACGAAATTGCGATACATATTTGCGAGACTCTCGTACGAGACGCGAGACAAGACAAGACTCGGGGCTGCGAGACGAGACTTCATATTTCATCGGCGAGACGAGACGAGACTTTATGAAAGTCTCGTCTCGTCGGTCTCGTGTGAATCACTAAGGTTAACTAATGAATTTTACTCAGTGAAAACAAATTCATACTTGTTGTTGAGATTTCATTTATTTATTGAACAAATAACTTCCAGACAGAAAAGGCTCTGGTATAAGGAAGTACATAATTATTTACCTATGGGTAAACATAATTATCATTATTCAAAATATATCAACAACTATAAATTGGCAAACGAAGAATAAAATTTGTAAAAAAATTGCATGAATAATTTTATCCAGTTCGCTCAGAAATAATCAGTTTTTTTACTTCATTTTTGAATGTACCTATATTTCTGCAATTTTTTATATTGCCACGTAGTTTATTGAATTCAGTTAAGGCTGAATGAATGGAGCTAGCGGCGTCAAGATTGAACAAGTTATATTGTCTAGTTTCATGATTATGAATTTCAGAATTCCGTATCAGAATAATATTCGAAAGTTATAACATCTCAATTCTGAGTAATCAAATCATGACAAATATCAAATTGTCCTGAACAAGTATTGTTTAAGATTGACACTAAATGGATTGTATAAAATTATTTCATTATGAAATATATATTGTGTGCCAATGCTCGACTTGAATGTATTTGCTATCAAGTACTTCAATTGTCAATATTAGTATGGACTGTATTGACTTCATTAAAAGCTAAGTTTGAGATTTTGAATTTATTCGTGACAAAACTAATGAAACAACATATTTTGAGTTTATATAAGGAATTTAGATTTAGAAATTTTTTAGGTTTGTTCGAGTTCACTGTCACTCCCATTGGACATATGGAAATTTCGAATGCAAATATTTTTGTAATGTTTTGAAATAACCCTATCAAACCCAATATCGTAGAATTGGTGATGATGATCCCTAACCGATTATGGAATAAAATACAGGTTGTCCAGTGGAAATTGAGAATATTCTAATTGTAGGCTCGGAATATAAGAGAAATATATCATAAATATATGCCATAGGGCGTAGAACATTACCTTTTGTAACATACAGTGTGTCAAACCTAGAAATGATGTTTATTCATTTATTTATTCATTTATTGAAAATATTACTTTCAGTCAGAATCAAGTTCTGGTATGAGGAAGTATAGTTAACAATAATACCTAAAACTATACAATTATAATAAACTAATGAATAATATAATATTTGAAAACATTAAGTATTCAATTTTGACAAATCATTTCATATTGGTGAGCAAAAATCAATTTCAATATGAATCAAAAGTTGAGAAAAAAAAAAGTCATCTATTTCGTTCAGAAATGATAAATTTTTTAAGATGGTATTTGAATTTTATTGAATATCTGCAATTTTTATATTATCTCTTAATTTGTTATATTCCAAGAGAGCAGCGTGGGTGAATCTTTTTTGGCCTATAGAAGTATTAGCGATATCAAGATGAAATAAACCATGTTGTCTAGTTTGGTAATCATGAATTTCATTGTCTCGTGTTAAAATAAAATTAGATTTCAATCTTTTTTTTATGATATTGTATGTAATTTTCAGTCTTTCAATTTTGAACATTTCTTCTAATGAGAATGATTCAGGTATTTTATATAATTGATTTGTTTGTGTGTCATATGGTAAACGATACAGTACTTCCAATGTCTTTTTATATAATGCAGATATTTTTTTAAAATTGTTTTTTGATATCGTATCTTGTTCCAGTAGCTGGAATATTTTCAAGTACTCCGCGTGATGACATCATCCTCAGAGTGATATAATTGTGCATTCGTATTCTATTATACTGACTCACCTGACTTTTCTATTGAGTTCATTGTTCAGAGCATCAGAAGATTTTTTCTCACTCTCTAACTCAGCTATCTTATTTCTCATCATTTTAGAATTTTGAGCATTCGTATTATTTCTGTTTTTATAATCAGCTGCAGCTTTCTTCTCAGTTTCCAGTTCCTGTTCAAGTTTCTAAAAACCAGCCAGCAAATTAACTGATCATAAACGAATAATCGATGTGATAGCTACCTGCATATGATCCTTGAGCCCTTGTATAGTATTATTCAGATCGGCTACATATCTGTCATGGCCGCTACGTCTCTCGTCCAGCTTCTTCTGAAGCTCCTGGATCACCTGGTTCGACTCTTCCGTCAGCTTCTCCTGGAATCTAAGTTTCTCCTCCAAGTCCTCTATGCGCAAGTTCGTGTTCAAGCTCTTCTTGTCGTTGACCAACGACTGCCAATTGTAGACTATCTCCCTGATTTTGCCGTGGTGCTCGTTGATGACTACGTCCAAGTTGCTTTGGAGTTGAGCTCCCTCTTCCTTCAGGGCATCTATTTGGTCGGTCAAGTCAGTCACGTTAACTTCGGACTTGATGATGCTCTCCAAGAGCTCTACTATGACGTTTCTCCTGCCCAACAGGTTCTTGCAGATGTCCATCAAGGTGTTGGGGATCTCTTCTATGGAGGTCTGCATGCCCACTACCATTTCCGGTGTTATGCTCTCCCCAGCGGCTCCTACCTGTGAATAATCATAAAAAGTGATTTATTGAAACTCATCTGCTCCAAATAGTCCTATCGTGAAAGAATAAAATATTATAATTCCATTTCCTTGTGTCGAACATTCCAGATTGTTTTCGAAGATCACTAGAATGTACACCAGCGTATTCCTGAACACCTGATGTAGGAAACCATGTATTCAGCCATCGTTTATGTATGAGTGCTATTGTTTGTCAACTGCTATTGTCGAATGGGTTTCTGCCTGAACCCGAGAAAATATAACTAGGCAGATTATAGAATAGAGAAAGAGAAACCTGCGTTTTCTGACAGGACTGCTTACAGGACATTGTTGTCTAAGATACTAGCTAGAAAGGAGAGGTCCGAAGCAACAAACAGACTGTCAAACAGCTGAACACATATGTCCATGATCTAGCTTATAGATTGATTGATTGTTGTCTTTATTACCCCAAGAAACATTATTGTTTATAATAGGGATATATACAACAAAACATTCATATAACATGAAAAATCAAAACGATAATAATTGCACAATGATTGTTCCTCATGAAAAAAAAATTATAATGAAATATAAAATGGAAATATTTCAATCCATTTCCAGTAATCAGATTGTGAACGATCAGCAGATATGGAATTAAAGTTTACTGAGCAAATATTTCTTTAAATTGATTTTCAATTTTTCTGCTTCTTCTATATTTTCCAACTCATTAGGTGAGGAGTTATATGAAAATATTCCATTATGGAATATTGATTGTTTACCAGAATTTGACTTATAATTATTTGCTATCAATAAATTGAATTGCCTTGTTTCATTGGCGTGAATCGTATTAACTTCAATGAAATTCAAATTTTATATTTTCAATTCTTTTCTGACAACATGAATAAAACAATAAATTTTGAGTTCATATCATGAAACTAGATTGAGCAAGTCTTTAGGTTTGTATAGTTTTACAGTTGATTCCAAAAAAGGTAAATTGAGAATGCACTTTATTATTTCATTGTGTAATTTCATGAGTGGCTTCAAATGTTAAATATTTTTACTTTCCCAAAAAGATATTAGATATTGTAAATCTGAATAAATAAGACGGAAATAAATACTTTTTAGGTATCTAACAGAAATGAAATTTCGAATTTTATATATAATACCAGCAATAGGATTTAGTTTCTTCCTCAAATGATCTATACGTAGAGTCCACGATAATTGTTTATCAAAATGAAGACCTAAAAATGTTGTCACATTTGTATATTCAATGGATTCCTTACTGAAACATATTGGGGTATTATTCGTTGTCCGTTGTTCTTCTTGAGATGTACATATACGTAGATTGACTATAATCAAGAGTCAATGTATTGGTCGTTAGCCAAGATGATATTTGTTTCAAAACATTTTCAATATCATTATCGATATCGTTAAAATATTTTGAAGTAGAGATTATTGTTGTATCATCTGCGAATAATTTGAGTTCTCCTATCAATTCTGGAGTAGATATTGAGTTAATGTTAATTGAAAATAATAGCCCCAAAACTAACCCTTGTGGTACACCACATGTAATATTCATCAAGGAACTACAAACAAGTATTATTCACACCAACATACTGTTTCCTATTCTTCAAATGATTTTTGAAACCAATCATGATTTTTCCTTTTTACACCTATTGATGATAGTTTAGTCGATAAAATTTCATGATTCACAGTGTCAGAGGCCTTACAGAGATCCAAAGACAGAATGCCGAATGAATGACATCTATTCGTAACTGAATTTCTGGAATGACATCCAGCACAACTACCTCTGTGTCTTTTGACCAACGAAATCCATATTGATCACTAAACAATAGGCCATTATTTTTAAGATAATTTAGTAGAAATCGGTTTATAATTATTTAAATCATCTTTGATTACTCTTACTATCTCAACAGTAATATAATCAAATCCATAGCATTCTCGACCATCCAGATTATCAAACGATATTCTCAATTTCTGAAATATTTGTAGATGCAATAAGGTTCAACATCATCTGGTTTCACTAATTCAGAACCTACCAATTTCAGCACAATCTCATCTCATGACCATAATATAGACTTTGGCCCATCTGGGGTCGCGGTGTGGAGGAGCAAGCAGTACTCACCCCATTTACATGGAACCAACCCAACATAACCTGACCCTATTCAACTGTGACTAAGTAACCATGATCTGCATATCATTCGACTGTGAGTAATTTCACATTTATTTTGATAAAACAATCATCTACTTTTCCGTGACTTCTCAGTTCCTTTCGGAAGATAGAGAGTTGTACTTTGAACATTACTTCATTCAAAAGAATGCAAGCGAATTGTTCAATTCTTATCTAGTGGATATGAAGGGTAACATACCGCACTCATTTCTTGGGCTTCATTGAAGGGCATCAGTTTGACTTCCTCCAGGAAAACTACTTTACCAAGCTCCTCCAATTTTTTCTTGATCTGTACTAGATTCTGGTAGAGGTCGAGAACGGGTTTCTGCTTTTCTGCCAGATCTTCCTTGAGTAGACCCAGTCGCTTCTTTTTGTTCAAAAACTGTATTTCTAGGGTATGTTTGTTACCTGCGTGAAAATAAAACAACATGAAAGCATCAGTGATGATACGAATTCTTTGTTCGGATGGATACAATAATTCTGGAAAATTTTATCGTGAATATTGTGATCTATTCGAGTTACTCCCCTGAAATATTTACTCATCGTATTATTCTCGAAGGACATACATAGCTAAACTTTTGGATATGATGATATGCGATTCTGTTGTAGAAACCAAATATGACGTCTCTGATTATTTTTGTAGGGTTGAATGGAAGTGAAGAATGTGTGGCGATTGAAATTCGCTCCTTGTATCAATTATTGTATTGATATTAATAAAGACAAATAATTACCATCATTATAATTATGTTGCTGTTCATAGTACACCTTTTACAGTTGTATTCCAGAAAGCGTCAATTTGATTTCAGAAAGCATCAATCGTATTTCAGAAAGTGTCATTTGAATTTCAATCGATATTTTCTGAAATATAATTGACACATTATGATTCTGAAATTCAATCGACTATTCTTCTTGTAGTTTGGCAATAAATCTCGAATCAACGGAAGTAGAAAAAATCGCTCGAACAAGCACTCGTGATATTTTACTCCCCTGATTCTCGATTGCTTGCCATTACAATAAAACTTTTATAGAATTAAACATGTATTTATCTATGGAAACATTATCTTTTATGTATTTAATCCCGAAAACCACGTATGTCAGGGTGATTTGCATGCTCCAAATATATGAAGTTCCGCAAAAATCGCACTCGACACATACTTGATTTCGTTTTTGAATTGAATGCAATACCATGTTTCTTAAATGAACTTTTCGTGCAGAAGTCTCAATTTTTCTTCAGAATTGTCAATGTTTTTCTCAAAATTCATATTTTTTGACACGAGATTGAGATAAAGGGATTTATTGAATTCTTCTGGTTTCAACTTCTCCCACAGAAATATTTCTTCAAATTCAACCTGTTTCGAGGAAATAAATTTCAACACTCTCCTCTCAATACGTTCTTATTCTAGAAATCCTCCAAATGTAATATACATGTAGAAAAAGTCACGTGACCTCCTCCGAGAAAGTCATCGTCATCAGTCATGTTTTATGACTATAACTTCATGATATATCCTGCATCTTCGAAATAGGTGATATACCCGAAGCGTAGAGATGTCCCAGTTGTCAGCAGACAGTACTGTCTTGCTCCTGCTGACAATTGGGGCAACTCTGTTCATCCTAGATCTCTTAGATATGAGATCTACCAGTTAGTTACTATTTTGTAACACCCACCTATCCGACTCGTCAAATTGAATATAGAACTACGCTGCCTGGACAACCGGCTGCTGAACGTCCGCGACATTTTGTTATGTAGGTACTTTACAAGAGCTATTTTACGTTAACAATAGTTATCAGTGAAGAATTTATGACAATTATGTTGTTATTGGTGCACTATTATGTTATGAAGAATGTGAAATTTTATGTCATAAGCCATTTATGTCGAATTGAATGAGAACTTTGCGGTGCCCCACGTTCATCATTTTGAATATTTTGTTATTTAACCTTACAATAGCAACTAAGTTCAGAATAAAAATTAGTAATAAATTCATGACAATGACAATTATGTTGTCATTGGGGCATTAATGTCCCTAACAACACAAGTAAATACTAGGGACTTCCCAGGGACGTCCCTAATTTTTTACTAGGACATTTCAGGGATATCTTTGTCGGGACAAAGTACATACTGGGGACGTCCCAGGGACATCCACTTTCCGACAAAAAGGATATCCAAGGGATGTCCATCTGGTACGTCCATGGGATGTACCAATGAGTACGAAGGAGATCCCCAGGACTTCCCAAGGATATTCCAGGGACATCCCTTCGACAAAAGAAAAAAAAAATTGAGTAGGAATTGAACCCGGGACCTTCAGCTTATCAAGCACGCACCTCACTCCATTGGCTTATATGCCTTTTATGAAGATTTATGTACTAAACAGATACATAGACAGTACAAAACTGAAACCTGAATAAATAAAACTCTGTTAGGATTTCATGTATGATGATTATTATTCTTGGGTGTTTAAAAATGAGGGGCATTATGCATTTACGATTTCTGTTTGCGAAGAAGTTCTGAGACTATATTCTTTATTTTCATTACAAATATTTTCCGGAAGAAAAACAAACAATTTAAAAAAATTCAACTCAATATTCTGATGAAATTCAATGACTCTGATGTGAATGGATATTAGATATTCCAGGGACACGAATAGGATAACCTAGGGATGTACCGAGCGGGACAACCACTGCGGGACACCCCCTGGATGCCCCAATCATGTCCTTGTACCGCTGGACGAAAAAGGGACGTACCTAGGACATTCCTGTGTTGTTAGGGATATAATGAAGGGTGTTCTATTCTTTTGTCATAAGCTATATTTATGTCGAGTTGAATGATGTATTTTATTCGAAATGTCCTCTCAAATCATCGATTTAGCAGCGGTATCACAAAAAATGAGAATACATTCAAAATAAATCACTCTTTTCGACTAAACTGGTCAACATTGATAACTTGGTGGTCCAAAATATAGCCTGAATTTAAGGTAGAATAACTTACAAATTTCCATACCAATTTGAAATCGCTTGTCACCGATGATTAGCCTAATCTCTTGACAGTTGGTTGAGGCAATATGAAACTTCCGTAATTTCAGATAACATTGCTACAGAGTGATAATTGAATGGGTGCTAAATTGCATCGTAGTCTTCACTTTACCGTTTAACCAGATAATTTTTTAATGTTTTTTCTCACCTGTATCCTCTTGATTGATGCTTTCTCTCGAAAGGTTTTCGGAATTTTCAATTTCAGAGCTTTGATGAGCGTGTTATGAATATTCATTCAAAATGATGCATTTTTTCGACGATCAATTGAATGAAATTGTAAGTTTGAATTCTTTTTCGAAGAATCAACGTTGTATGTGTAGTCGTCGGATATGTGATTGTGTCTGAACACATAAAATTCTGAAGAAGTCTATACAAAGTGATACAAGAAATACTGGATGATGGAATAGAGAATAACGTAGATGAAACATGATTTTCTCTGTGTTACTAGTGAAATAATGGAATGTTACTTCAAATATCTGTTCAAACGGTAAGGTGAAGACCACGATGCAATTTTACACCCATTCAATTATCACCCTGTAGCAATGTTATCTGAGATTACGGAAGTTTCATATTGTCACAACGAACTGTCAAGAGATTGGGCTACGTGGACCACGACGTTATCAATGTTGACTAGTTTAGTTACTATTTTGTGCCACCCACCTATCTGACTGGTCGAATTGAGTATAGAACTACTCGGCCTGGACAACCGGCTGCTGAACGTTCGCGACACGTTCACGCCGCTCAGCTTCGACTTGGGCGACTTCACGGGCAGCGGGATGCTCGACGAGGGACGGGTCGAGAGCTGGGGCGGCCGGGTGGCCGACTTGGCGGAGGCGGCCGAGGGCGGGCGACGGCCGCCCGTGCCTGCGCCGCCGTGCTGGCTCAGCGCACTCGTGCTGTCGCGGTCTCTCGGCGAACCTATAAGGCTGGTGGCGGTAGACTGGAAGAGCACACTGATTATTTATATGCTGTTTCAATGCCCAAGTAACATTTTGAAATCTATAAGCCACAATGAATTCATCGAAGTCGATCATGAAATCTATAGGATTTGTCGAGTTTTTTCAAGAACTGTGTTAAACCCAAATACCATAATATGAATGTTCGTTTTTTTTTTTGCCTAAAACGACTCACGTTGAAATGAACAAGAAAATAAATGGTGTAAAATTAAGAGAAATGGCAACTTCGAGCAAAAAAATAAAGAAATTTACTTAAGAATCAAAAATCAAGTAGTGAGAGCAGTTAATCAGAATTCTCAAGTCGAAGCAATTCCAAACACTTCGTCTTTCAATTCATCCCAACTGAAACCACCAAATAGCAAAAATTCATTAAGACCTGATGGTCATGAAGTACCTTCAACGAGTCAGAACGAATGATGGAAAATACTTCGGATATATCTGAATGGGAACTAGGAAGCGAGGAAGATGACAACGGTTTTGTACAAATAATGGAGCATTCAACACAATATATCAGGCAAACTGCACTGAGTGTATAGTTTGTCTATGTTTCCTACTCGGTTTTCTACTTAACACCAATCACAAATTCCACAAACTGAACACTGTGAATAACAAAAGTAGGGTTATGTTGATCATGTTGTGGTGGTCGGATTAGAATAACCCCACGGTAAGTCCTGCCTGTCGTAGAAGGCGACTTAAAGGTTACGGAGGAGACATGAAAATGATCAAAATCTGTTTGTTGCGTATAAAACAAAAACGAATAGATTTTATCGAAATATTTTTCACATTACAGTTGGCCTTGACAAACTCCACATTTGGTGTCATTTAACCGACCTCGTATCTCTCACCGTTAAAAAGATACCCATGGTGAGCATGGTGAGTGGGACACACTGTATATATAGTTTTATGAAGGCATTATCTTATATCCTTCTCATCATTTTATGAAGGCATTATCTTATATCCTTCTCATCATTTTCGAAGCTTTGTTGTGATACCCAGGAACGGATAAGAATGGATTTGAATATGCAATGAGTACTTCAATAGGAGGAAATCGTCTCATAAAATGCCTTATTACCTAAAGATTTTAATAAGGCATCAGAAAGAGAACATTGGTTTTATAGTTATTTTTGTATCTAGAGCGCGAAATGCTACTTTGGTGATCAAGATCTAAAAAAATAGTCGAGATGACCAAAGTATTTCGCGCTCGAGTTGCAAACAAAATTTTTTCTACAAACGTCAAAAAATATAGTTCCAAAGTGAAAATATGCTTAGCTTGATGTAAAAAATAGTGTTGAACTGGCTTAAAAGGCCTCCCCCTATATCCTCCCTAGGTACGCACGATATTCCACGAATATAATAGGAATTTCATTTCGTGGGCTCCAAGAGATAAAACGAAGTTATCGTTGAACATTCAAAAATGAATGATTTCGTGAATGTTTGCTCGATTGAGGACCATAATGTTGAAATATAAATATCTCATATATTTTACATAACAATGCGCGAAGTTGGTACTTCGCGCACTGTTTTACTTCGCGCATTGTTTTGTGCAAGGTATCATGGTAACGTAGGAAACTGAAAAAAAGTGTCACTTCGCAATTTGTTATCAATGCGCGAACCTTGTCATTTTTTGACGTTTGTAGAAAAAGTATATTTTGCGCCATATTTACTACAAACAGATGTTGGCCATTGATGGAAATGAAAATTTCAGGCGGAAAATAAAAGAGACTTATTGATACTGCCGTCGAAAATGTTGTTTTTCCACATTTTTCAAACGACTCACCCATATTTAGCAAACAGTTTTGTCAACTTTTTTGAAAAGTTATTAAAATACATATCCAATTCTTACTGGTAAAAACACATTATTTCTAGGGCGCTGCTTTTTTTGAAGCATATCTGGTTTTCGTCAAAAAATTCATAATCGTTTTCATTCCACAGCCTCAATCTTCACAAAAAAGACTATAAGATACAGTAGGGAATTGTCATATCATACCGCCATTTTTACTCTCTTTCAATACTGTTCATTGTTTTCAATCCATTTTGACATGTTCGTATTATAATTTATTCTGGAAAAAGACTCTCATATAACACGTTACGGAATATATCATCTTAAAAAATGCTTACTGCAACTGATAAGAATTTATTTCTAGCCAATATGTGTTTTAATGTTGGCATAAGAACTGCCAGCATATAGGTTTGAACTCGTGTTAAAAGGCTTTAAAGGAAGCAGTTTTGATAGGTCTACGATACATTCCTCTTAGTTTTATGACAAGCTTTGAAAGAAGCTGTGACAGCTTCTATAAAGGTGGGCCCTTTATGTTTCAAAAAGGTTGTCTTATTGTTTTGATGATATTATTAAGGTATAATAGTTTCGAAAAGGCATTTTAAAATAGGCTGCAACAACCTCCTGTAGCTAACCATCAAACTGATAATATTATTTGGGCTAATAGCTTTGATGAGACTTTGAAGATGTTAAGGTAATGGCACCAGCTATTGACATCTCAAGACGGTAAAGGTCATGCGTCAAATTCCTATTGGACATTAAAAAATCTAAATATTTCAATTGAAACGACTTCAGAGCATATTTTTCCTCGCTGGTTATTGCTTTCGAAAATACATCTGTTGGACACTACTGATAATCAACAGGGTTGATGAAACTACCAATTTAATTCAAAGGAGCAAATGAATCAGCCAGCGACATTGAAGAATCAATGCCGCATCAGCTATATATCGACATAGTTCTGCCCCTGCTATTGACACTCGTGTATTTTCGACACAGATGCCCCAAAAATAATAATAATGGGTTCTCGTCGTTATTCATGTGATAACTGCTTTCTGGCCTTCCTCAACCAGGACTTTGTCCTACTTGGCTCCTAGAATAATGCTCTCCTGTCTGACTTCTCCCAACTATCAGAGTGATTTTCTTCCAGTTACATTTGTCAAACTGTTGATTGAATTCTGAAAAATCCTGAGCTTTAATTTCATGTCGTATCAGGAAGGCTAGATTTATAGTATTTATACCATTTCTTTTCTGGGCAATCATTAGAGTGAATTGATTTTTCCATGTTTACTGCAACTTGCAACTTGTTCGAAATTCGAGTTAACCTAGTTACCAGCAGGCCAACAAGCCAAGGACAACTGATGAGAGCTTGTGGATCGAAACAGTAATGTCTCGCTCTTGTTGACAATGGGCGTGTACACCTCAGTAGAACTTTTAACTCAAACCATGTTTATAATGATCATTTTATACATAAATAATGATTGACGACATAATTTGATCGAAAAATTAACTGGAATGTTTTATTTTTAGACATAAATAATAGTACCTTCTGAAAACGGACCCTCTTATGACGTAGAAACCTCATCTGTCCATAGTTAAAAGAAAATACCAAACGCCCGACGGAGACTGAGGCAACTGATATATTAATTCTTTCAACTGTGATCTCGCGATAATTCACTCTGTCAGAAATCATGTATCATTCATCTCTTCCCGGAATAGTCTAGTTTCAGTATTAGGGTTTTGACGTCATATCATCGCCTCGTTTTCAGAGGTCCGAAAAATCGGGGATTTCAATAATTTTTTATAAAACGTAGGGAGCTCACAGCAAGAAACGGTTCGCGGTGGTGAGCTAGTTTGTGTGAGTTCTATCGAATTATGAAATAATTTTTTTTTGTGATATAAGCCCATTGGTACCAACTATATGCATTATCGATCTCTTCAGTTATGGAATCGAGTTCTATGAAGACATGCAGTAGTTACTGAGCCTTCAAAGTACCAATTATTGACACTCACACAAATCGGCAGTATATGTATAACAAATTTGATCGAAAAATGGATTATTGATTATATTTATCTTGGAATTAATACAATAACAAATAAATGGCAGTACTAATAATTACCAGTTCAAATTTTAACAATGCTATACAGAATTATATTCCAACAGCTATACCTTGTATAATGTTTGCATGTAGCATTTATCGACACCTACATATGTATCGGTTTTTGAAAGAAAATTATGAATTGAAAGCAATTTGTAATTAATATTGGGTGTCAATAACTGATCAGGGCAAAATATGGTTCATCATTCATCTATTCTGTGTTCATTTCGAAATTGAATCAGATTCCAGAAACAATATTGTGAATAAATGTCACTGTTAATAATGATGTAGTTTTTTACATCAATGTCGGTCCCTGCAACAATATGCGTTTCAACTGTACCTGTTATTGACACAACTTTTTTGTGATCATTTTTGTGAATATGATACTTTTCAGAATATCAGATGAAACATTTGAATCACTATTATTTAGTGAAGAACAGGAAACACACCACACACACACACTGGTAGAATTGTGTATCTACTTTACAGTTTTTTCATTGGAGCCGTAGTAAAGCAACATGTACCAGCGTATTTCCGAACACCCAATATTCGTCACGGTGACACTAACCTGACAGAAGGATCTGGAATCATGTCGAAACAATCGTTGAAACAATCAGAAAGAGAGAGATATAGTTCTAGAAGCTTCTAGAACAAAAGAAGGGTTCGGAAGATCATTCGAGAACGTTCGAGAAGCGGAGACTGCCAAGGTATCATTTTTTTTTCATGTTCTGGTTCCCACGAAAAGGGATATCCTGTAATGTTCAGAGAACATCTTGAGAACCAAGGAGAGGTGGGAATTGTGTTCTTCTTAAACTTCTGGTTAATCTCGCGGGGACTGCCAAGGGAGGACGGACCAATTGTTATATTTCAGAAGAGCATCGTCCATGAAAATGCAGGGTATAACATGAAGTTATAGTCATGTTGTAGCCATCTAGTGGCAATAAAGCTCTAAGGTAGGATACAAAAATCGCGACACACACTGTATGGCGCTGCCATCTATAGTCACACGTATAGACCCCTACGTCTATACGTTACAGAGTGGTACTACAAGTTGACCAATCTGCTGACAGATGGCACTACCTGACATACTTGAGTGGGATTTTTCCACCACCTATTCAACTGCTAGATTAGATTAGATTAGATTTAGAATGGGGCCTTCGGGCTATCTGCCTCCACACCGCGACCTTTTCAGATCTATTGAGTCTGCCCTCAAAATCGATTAGAGTTCTTCGGCTAGCCCCGTCTTCTCTATGAGACTCCATAGGCTAGCTTTCAGATCCCCTGTGTATCTCTGGGTTTCTGGTTTTTCCTCACCCAGCGTAAGGAACCTTAGTCTTGACAAGCCCTCACAGTGGCAAAGTATGTGTACTGCTGTTTCCTCCTCTTCCTGACAGAACCTGCACAGCAGTTCTTCAGTCAGACCCATCGTACTCATGTGTTTGTTGAGCCTACAATGCCCTGTGAGAAGTCCCACTAGTATTCTAGTTGAACTTCGTTTCTGGCTTAGTAGATATTCTGTGAATGTTGGCGATGGTTTTTTAATAAACTCTTTTGCCCGTCTCATTCCTGGCGATTTGTTCCACCATTCTTGAGATTTGGTTTGCATCCATGATTTGATACTAGTCTTTTGTATAGCTTTCGCAATACCACAGAAGGGTTCTGGGCCATTCAGAGCTTTGTTTGCTCCTGCTCGGGCAAGTGAGTCTGCCTCTTCATTGCCCTCGTACCCTGTATGTGCTGGTACCCATGCTAGAGTCAGTCTGTTCTGACTGCCCAGTGCATTTAGGGTTTCTAAGCAGTCCCATACTAGTTTTGAGTTAACTTGCATAGAGTTGACTGCTTTGATTGCCGCCTGGCTATCTGAATAGATTGCAATGGTTTTGCCTTTAAACTCTTGCCTTATCAATTCTTTCACGCAATGATGTATTGCAATAATTTCTGCCTGAAACACCGTCGCGTATTTACCTAAGCTCAGTGAGATTCTTGTCTTTGGCTTGGCCCCATAAATACCAGCTCCTGATCCAAACTCAGTTTTGGAGCCGTCCGTATAGACCGCAATGTCTGCATTGATAGGAGGTCCTTCCTTCCATGCCTCTCTGTCCGTTATACTTATTTTAAAAGTTTTTTCAAAGCTATATTTTGGAATTATGCCATCCGTTGGCATTCCCATGCTGGGGTCGCTTTCCAACTCTTCATATAGCTTTCTATATATAGTCTTTACCGTGCGCGTTGCTTATGGGTGCTTGACCCCTTGACAATCTACTCACGACTGCTCTGGCTTCGCCTTGAATATATATTTGTAGTGGTGGTAGGTTCAAGAGGACCTCTAAAGCGGCTGTTGGAGTGGTTTTCATTGCACCAGTGGCACTCAGGCAAGCTTGCCTTTGAATAGCACTGAGCCTTCGAATCACTCCAGCCTGTTGTGTCTTTGGCCACCAAACTACTGACCCATATGCTATCATAGGCCTGATGACGCTGGCATAGAGCCATGTGGTCATTTTTGGTTGCAGTCCCCAATTTTTCCCGCACATTCATTCAACTGCTAGATCTCATAACTAAGAGATCTAGGATGAACAGAGTTGCCCCAACTGTCAGCAGGAGCAAGACAGTACTGTTTCGACCCACCAGGTCTCATCAGCCGCTCTCGGTCTGCTGACAACTGGGACAACTCTACGCTTCGGGTATATCACCCATTTCGAAGACGCAGGGTATAACATGAAGTTATAGTCATGTTGTAGCCATCTAGTGGCAATTAAGCTCTAAGGTAGAATACAGAAATCGCGACACACACTGTATGGCGCTGCCATCTATAGTCACACGTACAGACCCCTACGTCTATACGTTACAGAGTGGTACTACAAGTAAACCACTCTTCTGACAGATGGCAAAAAAAGCGTAGAGTTGTCCCAGTTGTCCGCAGACCGAGAGCGGCTGATGAGACCTGGTGGGTCGAAACAGTACTGTCTCGCTCCTGCTGACAATTGGGGCAACTCTGGGGAGTGTATAATCTCTGTCCTAGATCTCTTAGTTATGAGATCTAGCAGTCCATGAAAATATTTATAAAATAGAGCCAACTTTTCTTCGGTGTTCCAGAGAAGTGAGTGAGTTTGTGAGCGAGGCATCATCCACGAGAAGAATTGCCCGGAATTTTGAAATTCTGAGTTATAACTCGGAATTTTGAATGTAAAATTCCGAGATATGTCGGAATTTCAAAATTCCGAGTGATAACTCAGAATTTAGAAGAGTTTGATTTTTTTAATGTTATGTGTCCCTTCCAGGGCTTCTCTATTCAAGAGGATTTTGTTTTCAAATTCTTATCGTGTTTGTTCGATAGATGTAATTCAATATTCGTCGTGGCATAGCCAGGAAAGTAGTTGTTTTCTGTTATTGAATAAACCGAGAAAGAAGTAACATTTTCATCACATGGAGAATGCGAATTCTCAATGTATTTCTTTATATAAACAGTGTGACCCACTTCTAATGGAAACAGCCCTGTATCGTAATTGTTGGGCAAGGATCCTAAAATTTGCTGGAGCGAGAGATATACCAATAATGCACTCTATGACCAAGTGGGGTCATCTTCAGTGATATACACTGCTCGCAAACAGCCATGAAACCACCCCAATTTCCGGGAAATGATATTAGGAGTTTAAATAGGTCGAAACTCACTTCGGATTCGGAATCAGGACGCCCAATTCACTAAATATTCATATTTTTCTTGGAAAATTTTCAGTTCTGAAGAATTCAATTTTTGTCGCACTTTTTACGGAAGCAACCCCGTATATTACGTAATTGACTTTATCTTTGAACTTTCGCTTCCTCCTGCAAATTTCAGAACCCTACCTCAATAATTACGTGAAATACGGGGGTGCTTCCATGAGAATTGAGACGAAATTTAATTTTTTCGAACTGAAAATTTTCTGGGAAAAATATGAATAGTTAGTGGATTGGGCATCCTGATTCCGAATCCAAAGTGATTTTCAACCTATTTTGTGTCCTAATATAATTTTCCGAATATTGGGGTGGTTCCATCGCTGTTGGCGAGCAGTGTATATCACTGAAGATGACCCCATTCGGTCATAGAGTGCATTTTTGGTATATCTCTCGCTCCAGCAAATTTCAGGATCCTCACCCAACGATTACGTAAGATACAGGGGTGTTTCCATTAGAAGTGGGTCACACTGTATATCCACTTTTTGTGTTCATTAATAAATCTGAGAATGTTCCTTTTCAATGAATCAATAATGTTTGCTGTTATCTTCGTGGATGTCATTTGGTCAGTTGATTAGCAGTGCGGAAATAAATTTTTTAAAATACTCTTTTAGTGTGCTTGCCGATTTTTATTTTTTAAATTTATCACCCTGTATCTCGAAACCTGAGCAATTTCGGATTGTCAAATCGGCTTATTTTGAACTCAGGAATGTGTGCTACGATTTTGTACAGGTCCTTCAGGGACACCCTGTATACTCAAATTGGACAGTTGATATAGTAATTTTCCTAACAAGTGCGGAAAGTGATTCTTTCCCGCACGTGACTGCCGTTGACACGAACGACGCGAAGCGGAGTTCGGGCAAGCAGTCGAGTGCGGGAAAGAAACTTTCCGCATGAGTTAGGAACAATATTTTTTCTACAAGCGTAGGAAATTGATTGAATCGTTCAATTAATTATTCAAGCAAATAGGAACAACTAACACGAGATATATATTCTCTATCTATTAATTATTAGTAATAGCTATTGTGAACTTACAGTTTGACGCATTATGTTAGTTCATTGCGGAAGCCAGCAGGCTTATTAGTAGTTTGGTCTCTAGGTTCCAGACACTTCTATGAAATGAGCCAAAAATACCTATTCTTCATTCGGTTTTTTCATTTTTTTGTTGTTGCACCATTCAATGAAACGCGTGTATAGCTTCTCATACCTTTCTTAAGACTTCGTTGGTGATAATGCATCTGTATCAAATCCCTATAGCTAGAAGTTTTTGATCACATTGTGGCATTTCCACTGAATCGAAAATGACAGTAACGCTGTGTCTGTCACTTCGACAATTTCAAACTTATTTGAGGTTTGATTGGCATGACAAATTGACGTTTCCCGTCAGATCAATCCAAATCTATAGGGGGATTTTTATAATAATCAATTTTTATTTCTCAATATTTCTCAATTTTTACAATGAATAGTGCAATTTGATGGATGATTCTGAACATAAATACTTAATACTGCAACAAACAAACTTAAACTTTTATATTCCATCAACAACCACTTACATTACTAGTGATTTTATCATATCTTTGTTTTCCCGCACTAGTGTGGGAAAATTTTCCCGCACTGTTGCGGGAAAATGACACTTCTTAAACTAAATTGCGTGCGGGTATAGGGTGAAACACGCACGCTTGTAGAAAAAATTATTATCGAAGTGCCCCTTGCTTGATGACTGTTATCTTACATTTTCAGTCTCACCAGTTGGCGCTACTAAAACATGAGGTCAATGTCAAGTAAAAATCCCAAAATCTTCCCAGATAGCCCTCAGGACTGTCGTCTGTTTAATCGAAAATATTAGGAAAAAATTATCTAGAATAATTAAACAACTAGAAAACCTCAAGTTATGGAGAGGCTTGAGTAGACTTACGTCTTTTTACTCTCAATGTAGAAGTTAACGACCAATTCATACATTGACGAAAAAGAACATTAGTTGGAAGACGACAAATAACACAAGAAGAAGAAGTATATTCATCAGTTCTACCAACTCTGACCTCACGACCTCACGTTTCAGTAGCGCGATGGTGGACAAAAAATAATGTTAGCCCTCATTGGCAACCATGGCTGGAAATATTAATTTTTAGTCTCTCATCGTCGGTTTTTATTTTCCAGATAGATAATTATTCAAGTATCGATGTTCCCTAGCGAGATGAACTGTGATGATCCTTCTCAAAAATGTTTCTTGAGAAACAGTCAACCCTGGTATGAAAAGTACTCACCATTTCTAGATGAGGATAATTGGACAAGAGGTAATCGCCATCCAGTGTTATTCTCTCTAATTTGATTCCTGTAGAAGACAAATACTGATATTAAAATCATTCCTGAAGACATTCATGGCGACAAATCTAGACTTTCATATCTATCTAAAATACCTAGATATCATTATGCATGTTGAAATACCACATTCTATTGAGATTCCGGATCCAAAGTCAATCAAAATTTATGAGGTATCGTTGACCATCATTTTCTATGAACGACATTAATGAAGACGTCATTTAGTTGTCAAATCCGGAAGATTAATTCATAAAATTGTACTTACCCAGAGATTCTTCAACATCCCCAGGAGTCGATGATGTCATACTAATTGTATACGATATTTTATATTTTACATTTTCCGAATAGCATAATCCTCACAGGTGAATTTTTGGCACAATGATAATGAAGAAACTTCAGGTAAAGGGTATAAACAAATGATTTTATAAACATATACCAAATGTCACTTCAGAAACGGCATAGTTCTCTTTTCGGAGATACAGGGTGTTCCCAATGTACCAGTCGTCTAAACACGGATCAATATCATTCGATATCCTCACAGTTCCGGACAATATGTTGATGTTCTGATTTATAATTGAAGAAAACACTGGAGGTGAGGGCAGCGCAAAAAAAATCATACAGAATGAGTTTTTTTTTATCTTTTGGAGCGCATGAAGAGAGATTCCTATAATATTCGTGGAATATCGCGCGTACCTAGGAAGGATATGAAGAGGAAGTAGGTGTTAGATTTCTTTTGTTGAACTTTTGTAGGTTATAAGTTATTGGGAATTCTTCTATTGGCAAAGAAATTCATAGCTTCGCCGTTCCATACACGAATGAGTTTTGGTGAAGTGTTGTTCGAAATTTTTCAAAGTTAACAACGAAGGGATGTGCTGACTGGGCCTGAGAAGTTTGTCTGACTGGTATTGATGGTGATGGAATCAGAGTAGAGACTTATGAGGAACATTTCAGGTAGAAGTATCTATAAAAAAGTGAAAGGTCGGTGACTTTTCTACGGAGTTCTAATAGTGTCAAAGAGTTGGTGAGTGTGTATCACTCACCAGGCGATCGAATGGCTCTTCTCTGGAAGGAATGTGGGAGCATCAGTGTATGTTTGGGTGCTGAACCTCATACATAAGAACAGTGCTCTGAACTTGTAGGTCATGAGAAGCTGTTGTGGTGTAGATTTTTGCACAGAACAAGAAACCGAGTTTTTGTGAGGGAACTTTTGCGTTGGATCGAACATGACTTTTCCACAAGGAAGTTTTGCTGATGGTAATACCGTGCATATACAGGGTGTCTTAAGTAAGTGTAGAAAATTCAGGAGCATTTTGTTGAGGTCAAGAGGAAAAAAATATATGTCCGAGAGTTATTCGTTTCTGAGATACAAAGTGTCAAAGTCATAACTTTTTTGTGCGTACCTGAATCACGTTTTATAGAAGAAAAATAGATTTCTAGAACACTTTTGTATGAAAAATATATTCCTGGTAAAGGTCGCTGCGACCAACTGTTTTCGATTTATTGGGATTTGAAATAATCAATGCAATAATTTGAAAAGACAAGAAGTTGGAATTAAGAATTGATTTATCAAGAAAGGAAAATTATTTTTCTTTAATTTTATTTTTATATAGAAATTAGGTGTTATTACAATTTGATACTAATGATAATAACAGTAATTGAGACCAAATCAATACTAAAACATTTGGTTGAGAAAATTGATCATAGTAATTGGTCAAAAAAGTACGTACAAAGGGGTGAGAATCATCTTTTGCCTACATTCCAATGTTGAATTGTTGAATGTAGGAGGATATTGAATGAGAGAAGAAAAATTCACTGGCATACCTTTTCTGATATTTACTACTTAGAGGCGACTTACGAGCCCTATGGAATAATTCAAATGCATCGAATATTTCAAATCCCAATAACTCGAAAACAGTTGCTCGCAGCGACCTCTACCAAGAATATACTTTTTACTCAAAAGTGTTCTAGAAATATATTTTACTACAATGAAACGTGATACAGGTAGGCACAAAAAAGTTATGACTTCTCAAAAGACTCAAAAGACATGTAGGTGGCGCCACCCACACGAAAGAGACAAACTAACATGAAAAAAAAACTCTCGATACCGAACTTCATTGGAATATCAATTATTCTGGAATCAATTAACGGAAAACAAAAATAAGAATTCAACTTTTATTATATAAACTTTTCGTCTTATTTTGATGTCAGCAACATGCTCCTGAATTTCCTACACGTACTCAAGAAACACCCTGTATATATTGGTCTTGGTGGGAATGGTGGTACCAGAGATTGTTATATCAGGCATAGTATGGAGAGTACTATCGTCTGCAAAGCTGTGGATACGGCAAGTGGTTGCTCCCAATAGATCGTTGATATCTATGGTTGATATAAAGTAGGAACAATGTTGGGGCGAAGACTGATCCTTGTGGAACGCCGTAATTGATATGGCAATTGTATCAGACGATACTTCTTTCACCACCACATGGAGCGATCTGCCTGAAAGAAGAATCGATGAAAGATGGCATAGCTGAGGTGGTAAGTCGTATTATGGTAGTTTGTGGAGCGAACCTTGGTGCCAAACATGGTCGAATGCCTTCAATATATCTAGCGCTACAGCTATTCCATGTTTTTTTCTAATGAAGTTTGCCATACATGGGTAACGTAGGCAAGTGAATCTCCAGTTGCCTATCATGAATGATTCCTGAGCTTTCCAGATATTTGATGAGCTCAATATTGATGGCTTTCTCCACTGTTCTTCAACAATTTCAATATCCAGAGTGTCAAGTTTCAAGAAAGCAAAAAGTTCATCTGATGAATTGTCTTTAACTTTTTCTTTCGGTACTTTACTTCATCAAATACATGAAATTAAAATCCTTACAGGAAAAAAAATTGTTGCATCAACAAATTATTTATGCTTGAAGTATTTTTGTTGGACTGAGCAATTTTTTGTAAATAAACCAGATACATGATTATTTCATGGAAGCAGCTTGTTCGAATCAAGAATGTAGTTTAATAATTGAATCAACAATATATCGATCACATCAACAGAATATATGGTTTCCACAAAAACAAATTATGTCGATTCAAAATTATGTTGATGTGGATTCAAATAAGAACATTTTGTTGATTTGATGAAATACTGATCATCTTTGAAACAACATACAAATTTTCTAATTTCGATGTAGCATTGAACTCGTTTCGAATGGATCATTTGCTTGAATAGAGCAACGGAATATGTATTATCGATGAAATATTTTGTTCATTCTACATTTCGCCTCTACATGGCGATCATTTCGCCTCGTCTATGCCTGCCTCGAATTAATTATATACGTGAAACCTGATCCTTCGTGTTTCAAATATCAGCTGGATAAAGATGATGAGCAATCCGAAATAGTTGTGCATCAGCTGAAGAAAAGTAAAGACTGGAGATCTATGCTAGATGTCGACTAGTTTCCTAGTTCAGTTTATTCTATTGATGGAAATTTCAGAAAACTCCCGAATTAATACGGAATTTGTTTCAACAAAACAATTTTTAGAGTCAAAATACAGTTCTTTTTGGAATAACGAAATATTTCTTTGAATCAACAAAATATTTCATCGAATTGACCAAATATTTCATTGAATCAACCAAATAATTCATTGAATCAACCAAATATTTTTTTGAATCAACCAAATATCTCATTAAATCAACTAAATATTTGATTGAATCAATATCTTGTTATTTTGAATCAAACAAAATAACTGTTTGCGCCAATTCAATATCTCTTCATGAACAATAATTCATGGAAGTGCTTGATGGACTAGGATCCAGGGTACATGCAGGACATATTTACTTAATTCAAGCTTCTAATTCGCTCTGGAACAAGATATAGATTTACTCATTTCAAGAATATATTTTGTGGTGCATATATGACACTTTGATTTGTTTCATTCAATCAAATTTTGCTTGATTCACCAAATCCTTTTTTTTTCGTGTATCCTCAATTATTAGACCAAAAAGAGGGAAAATAATGTGAAAAACTTCAACGATGAGATTTCCACGAAATTCTTGATTACACATGTTCCGCTAACACAGTAGCTTCTTGAAGTAACGGCTGAGTCAATTAAAAAATAAAGAGAAAATAATGTTTATTTACGACTTTTCTTCTTCGCGTATAATAAATGGTAGCAGATTAGAACTCATCCAATCTAAAAATGCAGATCTCATTATTCCACACTTCGTGAACCCCAATTTCCTCATTTCTATTTGGCCCCTTGCTGAATCTTCATTTTGCATTCATAGCATGTTGTTTCCGTCATTTTTGCAATGCTAATTTCTTTCAGTATGCAGCTGAAAAAGGGGAAATCACTTTACTCCGATTTGAACTAACGTGCCGGAATGAATATACAGTGCAGAACACTAATATTGGTTGAATATTAAATCAATGAACAGGGTATCCCTAAAAGGTCTTCACAGAAACTCACCACATATTCCTCAGCCCAATACATTTTTATGGAAGCAAACTTACCTCATTACACAGTTGCAATTATTTTATAATCGTTATGGCTTTTTAACTCTGAAACGGCTCATGAGATTTTACTCAAATTTGGTACGTTGATATATAGCTCCATTGGACAATCAAACTCACATAATTATGATTATTGTCATTCCATGGGCGTAGAATTCCAGTTTTTTCAGTGGATAAACATCTGCATGTTCTACACGCCAATGGAAAGAAATCAGTTCCAATATAAAATTTTGTCTATGTTATTTATTAACTACAGTATAGGTACTCTTGATATATTTCGATTAACCTCATGGTTTTGACAAAATCAGAATTTTAGTAACTCAAAGCATCACTTTTTTTATGTTCTGGTTCCCACGAAAAAGGATATCCTGTAATATTCACAGAAAGTGGCGAGAACCAAAGAGAATAAGGTAGGAATTGGTGTTCTTCCTAAATTTCTGAAGGTTATATGCCTCGGAGAACATCTCTCTTCTCAATGTTGTTCAGAGACTCGCTGTTCGTTGGATGAACGAGTCTTTGGAAAGAGATGTTCTGCAGGTCTCCAAAGTGGCCACGAAGGGGTGCGAAGCCTCAACTCGACAAGTTAATTTCGCTGGGACTGCCAAGGGAGGAACAATTGTTGATATTTCCGAAGAGCATCGTAGATGAAAATATTAATAAAATCGAGCCAGATCGCCAACTTTTCTACGGTGTTCCAGAGAAGTGAGTGAGTTTGTGAGCGAGGCATCAGCCACGACACGAATTGCCCTTTTTTGGACAAAATCCAACAGTTTCAGGGTATGTTTCGATACTGCACTCCAAATATGGGAACAGTATTCCAGGACAAGTCGGATCTATGCCTTATAGATCATAAGCAGCTGATTGGAAAGGAAATTGCTCCTGGCACGAAACAAAAGAAAAAGTTTTTGGGATGCACTTTTAGCAATTGATCCCATACTTAACAATAAAACTATCAACAGCTGATATGTCATGAATATTGTTCGAAATGATCATTTTCACGTATACAAAGATCTACACGACGAAAACAATTTATACAAGCGAATTCACTTCAGTACATAGTTGCTCAAAATATAAGAACAAAAAAATTGCTGATAGCATATTTTGATTTTTTTCGTCGTATAAATCTTTGTAGTCGTGGAAATGATCAGAAATGTCTCAATTTTTATGAAATATCTGTAAATTGTTTTAGTGTTGACTATTGGATCACTTAAATTAAAATTTTGTAGGAACCATGAAAGTAATCGAATTTCATCAGGTGTCCTTTTTGTGCTGCAAACAAGTTACGTAATCCGAGTTTCATATCCTTACCCCTTTCTTTCCATTGGCGTAGGTATGTAAGATGTTCATTTACCGAAGAAATGAAATTCTTGGCCCATGAAATGATATTTAACATGATCCTAATATTGATTTTATTGCACAATGAAGCTATGCCAACGTATCATATTCAAGTAGAATCTCAAGAGCCGTTTCAGAGTTACGAAGCAAACTCGATTTGAAAATTGTAACTCCAAAGCAGTCTAGCGTCCAAACTAAGCAACTTTGTACTGAGGTAGGTTTGCTTGTATCGAATTGGTCTGGTCTGAAGAATATGTGGCAAGGTTCTTCGAGACATTTTAGGGTAGATGTCAGGGAAATATTGGCTCAGCTGGCTTCTTCTCTGATGCTAACAAACACATCATCATCATTTCTTCCTATGTGTTCTGTGTAGGCTTTGTTACTAGCTCTATGCGCCACGTTAGGAGTAGCACTGCAATTAATTGAAACGCAACAGTGAATCGTGCCAGACTATCCCCAGCCGATGCTCCGAAACTTTACAATATGATGAAACTGTACCTTATGGAAAATCGTATATCAGAGAAGACAAACCGCAAACCTGCCCTTTTCGAATGGACCAATGACTTATCACACTCAATGGTGATACATTACATGAGGCAATTCCGGTGAACGTGTTCGCCACTACCCTTAACCTAATAGGCCGCACAACCCCTACTTCTACTTCGTGTACTCCCTCGGCTTCAGTGTCGACTCGACTTCCAACTCCCAACTTCCAGTGTTTCGGTTCGCGATTTGAAGTGCGCTCGACTCCGCGATAATTGTTGGTTTCATTGGATGAGGTTTGTCATTATTTACTCGAGCGTTGAGGGGAGTTTTGTGAAAAAGTCACAAACAAGGTGGGTCGAAGGGAGTTTGATCTTATTTGTCGTTATTAATTCATTTGTTCGGACTTTCTATCAACTTTCGTGGTATTTTCCTACATGTATATGGTTGTGGAATTCTATTGTTTCAGATTCGACTGGTAAATATGTACTTCATCTGGTCAAAAATCGTACAGAAATGTGGTTCCGAAAAGAAAGGACTATTACCTTTACTAAAAATTCATTGTTGTGTTTTCGCATGAAATATGTAAAATAATATTCCAAAATCAATTCAAACAAGTATCTACGAAGGCCTGGAAGGGACACATGAAATAAAAAAAAATAAAAACTCTTCAAAATTCTGATTTATAACTCGGAATATTGGATGTAAAATTCCGACTTATATCTCGGAATTTTAAAATTCCGAGTTATAACTCAGAATTTTGAAGAGATAATTATTTCAACTTTCATAATCAAACTACGCCATAGAAAGATATTCGTTTTGAAGATGTCTTGAATAAATTATGTACTCATTTCAGAATCAGATAAATATAATACTTCAATTTACATTCGAGACAAGAGCATATTCCGTCATTTGCTACAAATCAGAAATTTCCTGAACTTTCTGAGAAATAATAAAAACTCTTGTCATTCACTACTATGATATTTTTTAATCGACTTGAACTAAGTTTCAAGAATTATGGGTATCTACTGTTTCGGTAACTGATTGATCCAATGATATCCAATGAAAAATTACAAGACATTGAAATAAAGGAGAACTTGGCATGAAATCACATCAAACCATTTTAACTTCTATCTACATTTACACCTTGCACAAGGAAGATACATACAGTGTGTGGCAGCTAGAAATTGGCACACCCCTTTTATCTCCCAAATCGTTGAAAAAATTGAAAATCGCTCGAATAAGTCGATGTCAATTCAGCAGGAGATACATTTTTCTGTAACTATCATACCCCAAAGTCAAAACCTTGAAGAGGAACCAGTATCAACTTTCGATTTTCAGATAGAACAACCTGTATTTCATTGTATCTCCAGATTCTCGATGAAGAACTGATTTCATCAATGCGGGTCTAGCGAAAATGATTTCGAATATAAGGATTCTTTTTGTGTCGAAACTATTCATTATCATCAGGCTCTCATGTCCCTATCTCAACTTTTGATTGATACAGGGGGGTTCAAGAATCTGATCACCCTGTATCTGCTGTCTGGTTTTCAATTTTCTTAGCGACTTTGTTGATAAGGAAGGTGACAAGTTTTATCTGGAATGCACATTGCTAATTTTAATTTTTTTGAATGATTCAACCTCAAGAATATTTCATGCAGTTCTATTCCGATTGAATTGAACTCCATTTTTCTGGATATTGAATAATGAAACACATTCCGAAAAACACACTATTGAATGTATTACGAATTCCCAGTTCGTTCGGGAGTTCGGATAGTTCTGTACAGGGTGTGCCTCTTGGAATTGTTAACTCTATTGTTTTCAGAGTTGTGGAAAAATGTTGAATTGGAAAGTTATTTGAAACAACTCAGACTTACATTTAGTCCAGTTGCTTCATATACAGGGTCATTCGTTTTTCCCGAAAAAACAGTTACTTTGTATTTTTTAATGGAACACTTTATATATTTTCGAACATGCGATAGAGTTTCCTACTGATTTGAAAAATATATATGAGTTGCATATTTGTATGGTAATAATTTGAGTTATTGATGATCAAAGTTTACCAAAATACTGTATCTTCCATTCGAACTGTCCATTCATATTTTTTTGTATTGAGATTGAACGATTTTAATTTCATGATAAAACATATCATAACTTTTCCATGGAGCTTAAATGATGTATAAACGTTATCTCAAAGCCCACTATGTTCAACATACATTAAATGATATGAAGTGAAGGTTCATGAAGCGGTATTTTGGTAAACTTCTTCAACAACTATTTTTCTTCCAAATATGCACTTCATATATAGTTTCGAAATCAGAAGAGAAGCCTTATCGACATGTCGAAAAATATAAAGGGTATATTCCATTGAAAAGATAAAAGTTCAAGTCCTTTCCGGTAAAATGAATGACCCTGTATATTGAACAACTTCACGAAATGAAAGTTGGAGTTGTTCCAAAAAACTTTTTTATTTTACATTTCTTCATATCTCTGAAACCAAAAGAGTTAAGGAAGGGTCTATTTTGAGAGGCACACCCTGTACATTGGCCTACACACATGGGACACACAAAATGACTCCACACCAGGTTAATGGAGCATCAATTATTATCGCCCAGCTGAGTATATTCTGACACTGAGTGACTATCCAGTCACGAGATATTTATTCATCAGGTGATATTTCAGTTGCATAGTGTGGAGTGATATATAGAGAAGGTCAATGACGCGAAGCCTTTTACCCGATAATCAATTTCAGGGACGGGATCGATCCCTATCGCGTTCCTAATTCATAGCAATACTACTGTGAAACAGTGTAGCTGCATACACTTGGAATTGTATAGGTATACATACTTACTGTGTTACTATTCTATAAAAATATGAAAGGAATTGTTCTTCAAAGAGTCAATAATCAGAGATGGTACTATCAAATGTCAGTAAAGTGTGAGTTTCTGGAATGTAGCAGCTTCAGAATCTGAGAATCATTTCTGATGAGTTGGGATATTTCCCATTGCTTTCTAGGTAATTTGGGTATGATTTTTGTTCTTCAGAAAAGAGCTGTATGGTATATTTGCAAGGCAAAAGTGAGGGATACCTGCAAACCACTAATCAAGGCACATGGTACCTTAACAGTGATTTCCATGTTCATCCTGGAATCAGTATGTCTGATAATGAAGCATATATAAATCCTCTTTCGCCAGGCATGTTTCTTCTTATAAGTATTACCCGTCGACCCATCTGCAACTTAGATCTCCCAATGCCAAATGCACTCACCGGCAAAAAAAACCGGCTACCATATAATTTAGCCAAATTGTTTGCTCTGTAACTTTTTCAATTCTGGTCCGATTTTGGGGAAATTCCGATCAAATCGTAGATCCATGTTTCCAAATATTAGCCCAAATATTAGTTCCTAAGAAAATCTGATGACTCGATCATTATACAGGGAGAAACGAAAGTTACTTTTTCACCCTTAACTTCTTAACGCCCTGTGGGAAAGGTGAGTGGTTTTACTTAGCTTCATTATGTTTTAGATTGAAGAGTGATCACTTCTCTACATTATGGTTTTTTATTCATGTCGATAACCATTTTTTTAAGGAAGATACAAGGGTTTCAAGAGAGTATGGATTCTTAAAATTGTTATTTACAATAATTCAGATCCATTCTCCAACCTTCTGCTCCTGGTTCTTGAATAACGTCAATATCTCCTGTTTGAGAGAAGATACAAGTGTTTCAAGGAAGTATAGATTTTTTTGATTTTCAATAACAATATTTCAGAACCTATCTACCTATCTTAGGGGTGACCTTCAGATACTCTTCAAGAGCTACGATTCCCCCTTCGAAGAGGATTTTAGGCAATTCGTCAAGGCTAATTGAGTAATTTGATCAATTAGATGCCACTTCGGTTGAATGCTGTAATTCAATATCGAGGAGAGCATACTCGTTATTGACTACAGGTCTGCTTCTTGTTTGTTTTTTGTAATTGATTTTCCGGTAAGTGCTAAGGAAGTAAGGTAGAAATATGTGATATTGATCCTTAAAGTTGTAAATCAATAAGTTCATGTAAGCTCTGATTAGTGGTAAAAAAAGTTGAAAAATGCCATACTTCCGTAAAACACTCGTATCTTCTTTTAAAAATAAGATATTGACGTGAATCGAAAACTTTTGTGTTAAGAAGGAATCACACTTCAATCCGAAGCATAATGAAGCCATGTTCATTCACGCAATTTTGCCACAGGGCGTTGAGAAGTATATGGTGAAGGAGTAACTTCGGTATTTCCCTGTATAATGATCAAGTCATCAGCTTTTTTGGAAAACTGATATTTAGTCTAACATTCCGGAACATGAATCTACAATTTGATCGAAATTTCACAAAAATCGAACTAGCATTGAAAAAGTTACAGGCTGAACAATTTGCGTAGATTTTTTGGTGGCCGGTTTATTTTGCCGGTGAGTGTAGTTCGCTAGTTAAGGATTCGATAATTTTCAATGAAATCACTTGCCGATACATATGAAACAAATTTAGGGACAAAAGGCATTCAGAAAGGTTGTGAATGGGTTGCTTGTTGAAAAGACCTTTTATTCTTTGAAGGATTTTTTTGAAGATGAGCTCGAGGGATAATTAACACGTTGAATGCCACATATGACTGGAGTAGGAGGCTCTGAGAAACCAAGGCTAGGTTTGAGTAAATTATTATTTATTTATGCGTAATTTGAGAATATATGGTCTTGCTAATTCATGCAGACGTTTTCAAGGTCACCAGCTGCTGTCCAGTTTACTGCACAGTATTTGGGGTTTTATAATGTATACCCCGCTGTCCAGTAAACTGGACATACATATCTTATGAGAAAATGAACTGAACTGAGTGTATTACTCATTAATTTCCTTTATTGAATACAAAAAAGAAAAAATGAGATCAAATCTAGATAAAAGAAACCTAAGTTAATGGATGAAGCATTCCCAATTTTGAAACAAGGATTATTGATAAATGAACAAGGTTTTTTTCGGGCAAACAGGACAAAAATTACTAGTTTTCTTTTTTCTTCCATCTTCGAGAATTGGCAACATCTTTTTATTTTTGATATTTTTTCTGATGATTGATTCGGCTTCAAACAATTGCATTTGTTTGTTCTTGTTGTTTTTGCTTGAGGAGTTCCAACAAAAGTTTCTATTTGCTGATCCATAAGCTTCATAATTATTTCTTCACGAAAGTCCAAGAGCCTGACATTCTCAATCTGATGAAGATTATAAATGTAATAATTATTTCACATTCACAAATTCAACAAATGGAAATCAGATTTGCGGTCAATACCTGAAATGTGTTCGTTATAATCAATAACACATACAGGTTTAGTCTTCTTA